ACTCCATTGAAATTTGTGCGTCTGATTTTAACTAAAAATTTTCGGGAAAATAAAACCGAACGTTACTTTTGATTTGGATGATGCGAGAAACTGAAATGCTTCTATGCTCTATGCTCATGCCAGGAATTTATGACATATTCCGTTGACAAGCGCCGGCAGGACCACTTCAATTGTGGTGTGTATACAGTTTCGATGGAATGAGGCTCCCCCAGCGAGCTATGGAAAAATTCAATTTGAAAAACTGTCAGTGTCACTTGTCAGTTGGTGGTCACACTCCCGACTCGCCTTCTACTATTGTGCTCTGCCTTTGGTTAAGAGTACATAACAACATTCAAGCCACTTCTGCTCCTGTGTGGTGCATTTTCGGAATATCGATACGACGCGTCGTCAGTGGCAGTGGATGTGGCAGTGGCAGTGGGAGTGGCAATATGGATGTGGAGATACATTTCATATGCAAATTGCTCGCAACTCAGAGACGGGCAAGACAATAACAAAGACATACCACACATATGCAAATAAGCAGTGGCAGTGGAAGTGGCCGTAGTGCCAGTAATGGCAGTGGAGCTGCCCCTCCAGGCAGAAAGAAAATGGAATCGTATCCATAAATCAGACAACATCAGAGTGCAGAGAGTTTTCGGTTTATTTCATTTCATCAGAATATTGTATAAACTGAATTGAACTGCAGAACCTTCCTTTTTTGGAACTACTGCGTTCTAAGACTTGGTTTTTCTTGTTATTTTTACAGTACGATAAGCGTAGAAACCGATTCAAAAAGTGGTCCGTAGAAAACGATTAAAAAGTGGTCCGTTTCTGATCCAATAGTTCAAGGGGCGATCTTCTTTGCCATTCAACTCCTCATATTGCACAATGCCTCATATATATTTAAGTGCAGCAGCTTTTCAGCAAACATTAAAGTGTCGGCTTTCATCTCTGTGTAAACATTAGAGGTCTGCATTGGAGGTCTGTGTGAATGGCCAAAAACCGGCAGTCGAATTAAAAACGCGCAAAATCAATTGAGTGAATTTGAATGCCACTCCGATAGAGTTTGAGTGCGATGACGTATAGCTCAATACGTTATTGTTAGCATTTTGCGACTTTAGGGAATGATTTCTAGAATACAACACGCAAATGCCTTGGATGTGTGTGTACATTCGAAATATACCCATATGCAATACAAATGTATGTACATATTCATACATTATTATGCATTATTGTTGTCAGCATTTTTCGTAAAAGAGTCTGATTTGATATACATACATATGTATTTTCATATCTATGTGTGCAGAAATGTACCTATTTATCTCCTATAGGAGTCCAAGCCTTCAGCAATTCTGTCTTCTTAATATTTTTCCATTCGAACCTTAATATAATCATTTTCCCGCGCAAGAAACACTAATTATGTGCATGTTTGATATGAATCCTAGTTCTAGATAAAAGACATACGAATTTGGAAAACTACTTATGACCGGTGGAGTCGGATAGATCGGCCAGAGCGTGTGTAACATTCAAAAAACTTGTCACGAATTGAATGAGTTAAATGAGGCGCTGAAAGAATGCATTCGTTTGGACTTATGTATGTATTGAATGGAGTGAGTTTCGGGTGAGATCGCCTTCGGGTCTGGACTACTCGACGCTCAGTCCATATTTCAGTTCTCTTGAAGTCGACGGATCGGAAGTATTAAAAGTCTCGGCTCTTATCGGTCACAGTGATTCATATAAATAGTTACAAGTATGTACATATCTACCAAGATATGTAGGTATGTAAATAAATACATAGAGAATATATCGGACATGAGCAGTCCGACTCTACCGGCCACTGTTTCGAAATTCTTTGTTATTTTGTCTATTACTAGGATTTATCTCAAATATGTACATACATATGTATGTATATGTGTGTGTAGATATGTTTGTAATTCGTTGACGTAATACGGTTCTAATGGAAAAATATTGAGAAGAAACAATAACTAAAGTCTTGGATATAATAATGTAATAATAATGTATGTACAGTCAAGGAAAAAAGTCAACATACAGCACCGATTTTTCAATATTTCGGGTTTTCGCAATGAAAATTAAAAAAGTTGGTATGCCATTATTTAGGACACTTAAAGTTATTATTATTTCAGAAAAAAAACTTAAACAAAAATTATGTATACTAAAGTAACAACAAAAAAACATAAAATGTTCACGGAAAAAAGTGTACATACAGCGTGGGAATTCCCTTTAATAATTCAAGAAATAGAAGGTAAAAAGGGAAATCCCCGACTATTTTGACGCCTAGCTTCATTGCGTATCAAGTGTGTTTACTGGCTGGAAAAAAGTATTATTGCTACTCTTTGGGACATTTTAGAAAGATTGGTTCGGAAATATAACATCAGCAGTCGGGAAAGCCTCAAAACCGCCCTCATTCGAAGTTCCGCCCACAACAACCGAAAATTTGGTGGCTTCGATGCCCCGACGACTACAGGCTGTAATAGATGCCAATGGTGGACCAACCAAATATTAAAAGTATAAAAAGTATTAATATTAAGATGTCTTTGAGACTATAATACAAAAGCATTGAGGCTGTATGTACACTTTTTTCCGTGAACATTTTATGTTTTTTTGTTGTAACTTTAGTATACATAATTTTTGTTTAAGTTTTTTTTCTGAAATAATAATAACTTTAAGTGTCCTAAATAATGGCATACCAACTTTTTTAATTTTCATTGCGAAAACCCGAAATATTGAAAAATCAGTGCTGTATGTTGACTTTTTTCCTTGACTGTATATGTACATACATTTGTATTGCACATGGGTATCCCTGCAGTACCGGTCATTAATGACTCAGCTGCTGACACGTCGATGACAGCGTCACTACCCCCGATGACATATGTAGTTGATGACCGGCCATACGCTGAGCTGATGACATTAACATGGAGATGTCCTAGGGCATAATCGATGACATTGTCATCGAGCATTGCCGAAAAATCATGCATTTAATAAGCGATGATTTTTCGGAAAAAATCATGCACTTAATAAGTGATGATTTTTTGGCTTAAATCATCGCTTATTAAATGCATGATTTTTGCCTAAATATCATGCACATAATAAGCGATGATTTTTACCTAAAAATCATGCATTTTATAAGCGATGATTTAAGCCAAAAAATCATCACTTATTAAGTGCATGATTTCTACATAAATATCATGCACATAATAAGCGAGCCAAGCCACACAAATAAGGGTTACTTTTTGTTGTTTGTTTTGCTGCTGGACTGCTCAAAAATTGCAATTTCATGCCCACCGCAGATTATAACAATTTAATTCGCTAATACGGATTTATATTCTATTTCTTTATTCTTCTTTTATTCCCGAGCATAAGAGAAGAATAAAGAAATATAATGTGAATGCAGCGAAACATTAATATAATTTGAACACCGTTTTTCCATAAATTTAACTTTTTATACAATTGAGATTTTTTTTATTTAACACGCGCACAACACATATTATTAATTAATTCAAAACTGCACTTACCTGATAATAATAATAATCGCAGATTAATAATTAATAATCACTTATTAAAACTCCAGATTAATAATCACTTTTTAGAACTCCGTCTGACAATTGCAATTAGCAAAAAGAACAAAGCAAAAGAGTTCTGTCGACGCAGGCGCAAAGAAAACGAACATATAAAACGAAGTTCTCTGCTACTGCGCACGGTCGGCAGAACCGAATTACGTTCGGCACGCGCGGAAAAGAAAGAAACAAAAGAAAAAACAAAGGGTTCGATTTGGCTGGCGTCAACGCCTCGATGACATTGTAGATGACATTCGTCATCGCTCAATGCTGGTACTGCAGGGATATATTTCGATTGCACACACACACACATCCAAAGCATTTACGTGTTTTATTCTGGAACTCATTCCCTAAAACAAGCCATTAAATTCCAGAACTATGTCGGCAGTTATTGGACCGAAATTCATATTGGATTTTGAAAAGCTGAAGGAGGCATTCGCTGAGATTTGTCCGGACTTTGGTGAGGAGCCCAGCTATGAAGTGGCTAGTGCGGCTCGCCGCTTTGCCGAGCAAGTGATCTTTTCGTACAGCAAGCAGGCCAGAACAGCGAAGGCCGAGAAGAAGGACAAGACATGGATCATACGGTTGGACATGAAGAACGAAGAGGGAATTGAAATGAAAAATGAGGTGCACATACTGACGCACTTCCTTCGGGAGCCGCTGATGACCCAGCCATTTGTGATGCGCAACCAGCTGCTGATCACATTCAAGCAGGCTAGTCTGCTAGCGGTGCACAAGTACTGTCAGCTAGTGCCGCATCTGGTGAAGCGCGGGGAGACAGTGCTCACTCCACTGGCTGGAGCAGTGTTCGCCAAGGACGACATGCCGAAGCTGGCAGAGGCGCTCGGGGAGCCTCTCGCCGAAGTGGTCATGGCTGTCATCAGCAGCTGCCAGACGGACGGCTACTACTTGGAGCACAGTCGCTGTCATATCGCTATGGTGGCACTGGTAAAGACTGTCGCCGATTTCAAAATGCGTGCCTCGATTGTCAAGAAGACCATCAAAATGTACAAGCGTCACGGCAAGGAGTTCGACATGGACAAATTTAAGGTCTGGAGTACATTTCAGCGCCGCTCTACTCCGGCCTCCAGTAGGAGCTCCACTGTCACAGACGGAGACGAGTACGATAAGTTGGCCGAGCAGGTTCTGGCCTTCCAACTGAGCAGCAAGAACGAGGGGGAGGCAAACCAGACGATAGTAAGACCCAAGCCTCCTATGAAATGTGCAGCCAACTTTAAGTTCCCCAAAACAAACTAAATGTGAAATTGCCATCATCTCTTAACTGGATTCAAGCAACTATTCGAGCACTGTCTCTCTGTTTGTGGTACAAAAAATCGCATATACATTATACATATGTACATAGGTGGTACTGCCATCTGAAAATAATATCAAATTTATATCTTTTTCTTACATATATTTCATATAAGCATAGCTCTACGTAATTCCTGAGCTGCCAGAGGCGCAAATAAAGGAAATGGTTTCTTAACAAACCAATAAAAATAATAAAAAAAAAATACCTTCCCGAGTATTTTCGTCATTTAAAATTAAAACGTAATTCTATACAGCGATTTGTTTTGGAAACAAGCATTCGAATAGAGAACATAATTTGTGGTTCTCATTGCTGTTTTGGCGGCAATAAGGGGCGTTTCGATTTCTTAACTACTTGCGACAGTCTGATGCGTTGACTCTCCATGTGGGTGATGAGTCCGACGGACTGCATAAACTCTTCCTTTGGACCCTCTTGTTTGACGGCGCTCTTCTCGATCTGGGGGATGCGCGCGCGGGCCAACGCTGCCTGTAGGTTGAGGCGGCTCTCCTTAACCACTGTGGTCGTGTAGGCATGCAGCGGCAATTTTGGGGTAGACATTGTAGTGTCGATGAAGTACTTCTGCATCAGAGCCTCCACTGTCGGTCGCTTCCCGACATATTGCGGCGTGATCGCCAGCTTTTCAGCCACCACGAGCGGCACGATAGCCCCACTGATAATATCGTTTACCACTTGATCGTTGGGTTTCAGATCATGCTCGGCAAATGCCAAACAGAAGCGATTTATGTCGTCCTGAAGGCGCATCAGCATATACTGGCACTCGGCATTAATCTCGCACAGTATGTCCTCAATTTCGTGCAAGTAGGTGTTCTTGATGACGGGATCCTGAAAGAACAAAAGCATAAGTTTGGTGTCCTTTGGTTTTGTAGAGCGGCAACAGGGGGCAGCTGTGTATGTACTTACGGCGTCCTTTTGCTCGTCGAAAACGCGTGAAATTGTCTGCAAAAGATCAGAAAATGGCGATTAGGAAACTGTGTACCTTCGTTTTGTCACAATTCCCATACACACCTGGTGCATCACCAGATACGTCTTCATGGCCCGCTGGCAGTAGGCAATATCGCTGACCACTATATCGGGAAACTTGTAGAATGTCCGAAGGTAATGTTCGAAGAAGCGATGCGCGCTTGGCATCGAGTTGGCTTTGCGCATTTTGATTAGGAATGCTCTTATTATCTCATAGCGCTCTTTCGGCGAGAAGTCGTTGAAGTTAATTGACTCCATTTTTATTGTATATTTCGTTTTCTTGATTAAATGCTACTTGTTTGTTTTCAGTGGGATGTGGATCACTTTGCCAACTATAATTTTAGCGAACTTCAGCCGAACTGTCAATTATAGCTCTTATAACAATTAACTAACAATATAGCGGTGAAAACGTAAACAAAAAATAGTTCACAAAGGAAGGAAAAAGAGGGTATGGACAATGGGCAAAGCAGTCCAGAACACGCAACGCATGCAAGGTAAAATCCACCCCATTTGCCTAATATGCCTTTCGGCTTTTTGTCTTCAAGGTATATTGAGAGTGTTCGCCGAGGTGGGGTTCCTGTGAACTTTAAAATATGCCTTGGATGTTTTTGCCTCTCTTCCATACCCCTGTGAACAGACCATTCGATATTACGCTCTACCGACTCATTTTTTCGTCGCAAGAGAGGAGCAGCGGTACTATCGATATTTTTCACAGCGATCGATATTACTTAATTCAAAACTGATCGTTAGGTTTAAATTCAAATATTTAAATAAAATGTGCTAATTTTGTTGTTGCTATCAATGACACGAGCGCACCGGACCATACTGCCCCGTAATTAATGCAAGCCATTTACTACCAGAAGCACGCACAGCTGTCGACCCAGGTCCCAGTGTCATGATTGATAATATTGGTTGTGGCGCTGAGCTCTGCTTCACAGCAGCAGCGGTTTGGACCTGCCCAGCCATGTGTATAAATAAATTAATTACTATTTAATTATTCACATTTCGATCAATTACTGAATGGACATTCTGTGTCGATTTCAATTATGTTCTCCCACAAACACAGTTGCAAAAATAGAACGACAGTTAATTATTATGACTGATTTACCATTGAAACTGTTCCAAGAACATGTACATATACGCAAAATACTGCAAAAATAACAAACATTTCGAAAATTTTACAGTTAGGTATGCACATCTGTACATATGTACATTGATTCGTAGCATCTCAATTCTGTCTTCACAAAACTTTGGAAGAATCTGTCCGTCTCTCCCGTATTAGTTAACATGAATCGGTGCTCAGATTCTGAGGTAACTGCCAGACGTATCTGTGACGACTCTCAACTCTTGTGTTATCCTCCGGTTTTTCTTTTTCTTTTTCTTTTTCTTTGAATATCCTCGGGCAACTTTAAGTCTTTGTGGTCCCAGCCAGAAAACTTTTGACCGCAAATGGATCTGGGCCTGGCGCTGGAGCAGCATAATCCACAAACGCCTTTTGCGTTGAAAAGGCAACAGAATACGCACGAATCTCGAGCAGGAAAGGAAAGGAAAGGAAAGGCAAAATGAAATGCAATCTGAAATCTCATCATAAGCCCTGCCTCGGCCAAATCCAGACTTCGTTTTCGTTTCGGTCAGTTGGAGACTAAAGAACACACAACCACTCGGACCTGGATTACAGTGAGCGTTCTTTATATCGTACGGCCAGTGGGTGCCTGCCTCCAACGAGTATTTAGTTGATTTCTGGCATGAAAATTAGTTCAGTACAGGAGCCAGGCGCACATTCAGAACCGAACATTCTTTCGGTTCAACTTTTGTGTTGAACTTGCCGCACCTGTAAGGCTCTTCCGGATTTCTAAAAAAAAAATCACTCTCAAGACCTTAATACGTGTAAGATCTAATACTTGTTACTAGTACATTCATAAATTATGTTCATGATGGTTTTTTTTTTTTTTGTGTTCAAATGAATAATGGAAAAGGTCGCATGCAAGGTAATAATACAAGTACAATACAATACTAGTGTATAAAACAACATTCAACATACTCCGACTTCAACGTAGCGGAGTGATACAACATATAGTAGAGAGGGTAACTGATGGTTTCGGGATGCCGAGCAATATTCATGTTGTTGGAGCTTCAAAGAAAGAATGAGGGAACAATAGAAAGTGCAGGACGAGCAATCCCTAGCAACGGTTAAGGAGGCACTTTCCTGGTACAGCAAAAAAGAACGAGAGAGAGACAGAGACAGAGACAGAGAGCAGAGCAGACCAAAAAGGACAATGGCACCTAATGGTCCGTTAGTGGTGCTGGAGTTGCTGGTGTTGCGTTGGTTCCGGCCGGAACGGAACGGAACAGAACGGAACAGTCGCACGTGGGGCGACGAGAGTGTCCCTCATTTATCATTTACACACCAACGCACGTGAAAACAGTCCCAACACGGCAAGATGACGGCTCGGTCGTCGCTAAGGTTTCCATTTCATACCCCCCCGGCAGAAATTCCATTAGCGCCTCCTGCTGTAGGCCCCAGCCAGGCTTTCGGTCTCGGTTTCGGTTTCGGCTTCGGCTTCGGTTTTGGGTCCGTCCCCATCATTTGCATTGATTAAATCACTCTGCGGTCGGGCCGGCAAATGGCTTAAAAATGCGAACCAACTTTCCGCTCAATTGTTCGTGCGTCCGTTTTTATGCACTCCGACGATCCCGTCCTTTTTTTTCGCCCTGGGTATACAGAGAGTATTCATGTTGCCGTACAAATTGCCATTGTTTTTTTATTTCACATTTCCCCATTTTCAAAAACCCTAGGTAACCTTTGGCTGTTTCTGTGCGGCAGCCTGTGCTCCGCTCCAATATTTCCAATAAATTTCACTCTACAGCCTCGGGCTGTCGGCGTTGGGTTTCGGTTTTTGAATTGCCACTGATGAGGCGCTGAGGGGAGCGGAGGGGAGCGGAGCGAGAGCTGTGCGAGTACACGATTCCCACGAGAGCAGAGAAAATTTGTAATGTTTGTGCAATCAATGTTGTTGCCGCAACAGCCACGCTGCACACGCCCCCTTACTTGCCCCCATATCGATTTTCGGTGAAATTTGCTTTTCTTGTTTGAAATCGTTTCTATTCCAAAGTATCGCCTTTTCATAGACGACACTTAAAGGGTACCACCAAAAGCAGGCCTTGTTTCCTGCGAATGTTCCAAGTTCGATACGATAGATCTTCTTTTGGCCAGAAAATTCGGAAATACTACTTCTTGTTTTGCTTTAATCCAAGCCTAACGAACATTCTTTATTATCTGAATATCATTAAATTCATCAATCAGTTCAGATACGCAATCGAATGCGAAAAACGTCTGGAAATTGAATACGATCCGGACAGACCTAGAATGCATTCATTCCACTCCATTACCATAGTGACTGCACAAGATTTTTTTTTTTTTTTTTTGAGAGAGGACAACACAGTAAAAAATGGTAAAACACAGCCAAATGAATCGTTTATGGTTTCATCACGCAATAAAAGTGGGGGGCAGCGGGTAAAGGTGTGCAGCCATAGCAGCAGTTAAATGGAAACGAGCGGATGAGATTAAAATATTCGGAATTTATAGAGTTTTACGAGGTATACGATATTAAATATTTCTCAGTATGGTTTAAATATAAGAATATAGGGCTGTAGATCGAAGGCGGATACGAATTTCAAACACAACTGCCATCTTAGAGATAACTGATAAAAACGCACCACATATCTAGCCGAAAGGTGGCAACGCCACAGTCACAGGCGTGGCTGGAAGTGCAGATCTACTATCTATCCAAAAGATCTCTACCCACTATACGGTATTTTATTAATTTTTAAATTTCTTGTTTCTAGAACTTGTATGTATGTATATTCAGTATATTGGGTACAAATATCATACTTTTATCATCCCCAGCTTCAATTTTATTTGAAATTCGATTGGTTCGTGTTGTGGAAACCGTATCAGTATGTTTCGGATGTGTTCCGAAACTACTTTTCAAAAGCCACTGAAGGGACTATGTTCATAGCACAAAAACTTTAATTAAACAAGATTAAAGATCAAATTCCACTAATCAGGAGAGTAACGATTGTAAATGCAATAAAGTTTGATTTCAAAAGTTAAAGGCGTCTCTCACAGGTAAATAAAAGCACAAAGGGGCTGGATGGCGAAACTTTCAATTTGTTTTCCTTGAGTTTTCCCCCAATAGTCCCAGGGACTATCCTTAAGCTAGGCATTGCCGTACGCCGTACGTGCACACAGGATGCTTACTTTTCTGCCTGTTTTTTAAATAGCTAGAGAGATAGAGGGGAAGAAGAGTAAGCCTGGAAAATGCCAGCATCTTTGATTAAAAGTTAAGAGCTTTAACAGCAACAGAACACCGTTTGCTCATCGCCTGACGCCTTTTCCTGATTTGTTTGCTTATTAGGGGTTTTCTTCCGGCTTGTTTGCACTGGCGATTGAGAGCCTCCTTGCCGGCCAAGTCGCTGCGTAAATATAAATTGGCTGGCGGTATTTTTAGCGCCACGGAATCACCGATAACAAAACATGACGATTTGCATATGATGTCATAAATTTACAAACAACACGGCCAAGTGGTTGGTGGGTCCAGGATGCTGGATGCTGGGTTGTGTGGTGGGGTGGGGTGGGGTGAGTGTGAGGGGTGCCTTGTTTATGATAAATGTCGCGGTACGACGGATATCACATTCCCATCAACTGTCCTGCATTGTTGCCGTGCTACCCATAAGACCCACGAGGCTGGGCCTTGGCTGGCTGCCTTGGCTGGCTGTGTGTGGCAAAAGCTCGCTGTAGATTTCTCTTTTGCTGTTAGAACGACATCCACACTACTGTTAGCCGACGAATGTCTGGGGGGGCCTCTGTTACGAGCAGGAGTTTGCCCAGGCAATCGTTTTGCTCCATCAACATCAACATCAACATCGTTAGCATTTTACCTGATTTCGGAGATTTGGGGGTGACAGTACAAGTCAATTTTGATTTGAATTAATTAACAATCGTGACAATTAACGGACTAGCACATCATCATACCACACGGTAGTTGTGGGGAATATCTGTATTTAGAACAGCGGTCGGGAAGTCCCCATCTGATGTGCATCGGAAAGTGCGGTGCTGCTCTCACGTACACGTGGTTAACGGTGCTTGGCACCAACGCAATGTTCCGTTCTGCCTGCTGTTTACGCACACAGATGCAATGCAAGGCGGGCGAGTGTGTGCCTGCCGATCACTGATTTAGAAGGTAGGAGACAGCGTTTCTTTGTACTTTCTGGGTACTGGGTACGTTCTTTGTACCCAATCCATTTATCAGTGGGTATGGAATCCATCCGCACATCCGTATATATCTTTAAAAAGTGGTTCCAACTGAGGGTTGCAGCCATACCACCGTACCGTCTTCCTCTTCAGGTCTCCAGTCCATCATCATCGGTTTTAGTTTAACTTTTAAGCATTGTTCAGAATTCAAGTGGAGAAATGTCTAAGTCGTACGCAGCAGACGCAGCAGACGCAGCAGACGCAGCAGAACCCAGAAGGAGAGGGCTCGAGGTGCTCGAGGAGCTCGAAGGAACGAAATACACCTGAGCAGTGCGGCAACTGCTGCAGGCGACTCGATAAAAAAGCCATCAACGTTCTGTTTGCCCCAGAAACAGCACCGAAATCTGCTCTGAAAACAGCAAAAGTAGCTGTAGTTCCATCCAATCCAATCCAATCCCCTCCACTCCACTCCACTCCACTCGCCCTCCCCCAACAATGGGCCCCAACACAGTGCAGAGTCCAACGAAATGGCAGCTCGAAACTTTGGACAAATTATCAACTGAATGTAGCAGAAACAACAATAATCTCGGCGACAATTTCAAGAGGCAGCCCGCAAAAAACGGGACTGGACGGGACTGGAGGGGACGGGACGGCAAGCACTAACCAACTTTTATTCGGAGCTCCTTTATTCTGGTTATTGCTATTATTATTATTATTTGCATGGCATGGGGTAGGAGTCGGGATAGTACCCCCATTACAATTTCACCCTTTGCGAGGGAGGGAGAGAGAGAGAGTCCCTAAAAGTTGAGACCAACTTTGGGTTTTTCGTTTCGGTGAAACAGTCCTCGAACTCCACTCGGCCGGATTTCGACCCCGTTCAGAGTTGGACACTGGATAAATAGGGCTTTCCTTTGCTTCTGTTTTCCTTGCGGGAAACGCTCTGGCCTCGACTTTAAAAAATCCAAAAGCTTCAAATAATCCGTTCGTTTGGCTTTAAGAAATTTCCAGGACAACATCAAAGAAAGCGAAATGCCCCACCCCCTCCTCCCCACTCCCTCCAAAACGGAGGACACAGGGGACACGGAAAACGCGCTCCAGGCGCACCGTCGGACCTCTTTCCGTCGAAGCCCTCGCTGCCACTTTACCAACCAAGAAGAGACATTTTACGAATTTTCGCGGACTTTTCGTTGCCAAATATTTTCTTTGAGCAGGACAACGGATGCTCCAGATCCTTCTGATCTGTCCCTCCTCAGCAGGGTAGCAGGGTACACAAATTCCAATTAAATGGAACCCTTTTTCTGTTGTTCCTGTCACTTTCCGATTTACTTCCTTATGCTACCGACCAGCGCGACAAGAAAACCCATCGGCTCCTGCCAATGCCTTAATCCAGAGACGGCGTTCGGTACAGTGGTAATGAGAGGTAAGACTGCTACGTATTGGATAGAATGGATATAAAGATGGCCTCTTACGTGGGGTTCCTGGGCAGTCCATAAAGACGGAAGTGGAAGCCTGTGAATTCCCATCATATATGTAGATGATGTATATCTGTAATCGAACTAGCGAATGGCCAGAAAGGAGCAATATAGAAGCATCCTAGATCATAGCACATTGTGGGAAATTTCGTAAACTAAGTAGTAATATTTAAGGAAATTCGATTCAAGTGTGCGGCTGTGAAGATACTCTTTTCGGAATGTGGCCCACTGGCTTAGTCGAGTGTAGTGCTTATTATCATTGGCGGACCACCCCCACGACGATATCGATTGGGTAGGTTCGTCCCTGCCCTGCCCTGCCTTGCCCGGCCCCAACGCTCCGCTCCACTGAGATTAATTGAGCATAAATTTTCGATGCGCTTCGTTTCCGTGGCACTGCGTGAACTGCGAAAAAATCTCAGGGTGAACGGGTGGGCTGCGCAGAAAGCGTCCTTGAGCAATGTTTAATAGACTTTTAAGTCGATTTTTCGTGGGCCACAGAACGAAGGCCATGCTCGGACTGCGGCCGCAGCCACTGCCTCCATCAAGGACCCACGTCGCGAACGGCTGTCACCTGCCGGCAGTCGTAACCATTAATCATGATTACTTCGCACTGAAGTCGACAAACGGCCTACAGCCTGTTCACAATGGCCCGTAAATTCCGGTGCTATTACTCACATTAATAAGTAATTATTTGATTCGATGCCACACACACACCACCTCATCGAAGGCGACTCTCGGGGGGGTGGGGGCTGGGCGGAAGGCAGGTGGATGGATGGATGGATGGACTGTGCTAAGTTCTGGCTCTGATGTGCGATGTGATTTGTGTCTTCTGATGGTTGCATTTCACACATCGACACGCATCGGGTCCGGCTCATTGATTCCTGGCTGGGTTACGTTACCATGACACGCCCGCAAATTAATTTATAATCCATTGAATGCAGGGAGGATGCCGCGATGACAGTGAACTGAATTCAATGATTGCACTTCTTTGTACTTCCTGAGTTTATGGAAACTCAGGGACTCCGAGGTCTTTGAGTTCCTGTTTCCTTAAGTATATGGAATACCAAGGGAAAGGCCATCCCCGGCTATAATATAGATATATAATGGAGGGATATTCTTTGTGTACACCACAAACTGTCCATTATGATGCGATCCCCATATTCCTATCCAAGGGAAATGGTCGGCCCATGTTTAAGGGAATTGATTTGCTTGATAAACAGAAACAACTTAATCCCCATTAGATGGTCCAAGAGGAACGAACCCCAGGAGGCAAAGGCAAAGCAACGAAAGCGCCAGCACAACGATTAAAACTTTTTGCGGTGGCTCTTTCATTCCTGCCCCGTGCCCCGTGCCCCATGCCAAAGCCTTCGCCCACAGAGACCACGCACACACACACCCACCCACACATACACAGTTGGTCGAGGACGAGTCGAAACTTTCTGCTTTGCGGTTAATTCGTTTTTATTTTCAGTTGCGGCGATTGTTTAACCGAAAGCCTCAAAACCAACTGGCGCCAGACCCTGACCCCCGACTCTCCTTTTCGGAGCTGCCACAACAAGTGACATGTCAATCAATGGTCCAGACAGAGGCCAGGACAACGCAGCGTGCTCTGTGTCGGATTGAGTGTGGTGTGCGTCCGCCGCCGCCGCCGCTGCTGCCGCCGCCGCCCGCCCCCAGTCTGCCACCAGATGTGTCTACTTGCCCCCGAACAGACCAAGGAATTGGCCCCGTAGCCGGACAGCTGACAACCGCCCGAAGCTCTCGGTTGAAAGTTGTTGCTGGCCACCAGCACCCGGCTTTTCAGCTGGGATTCGATTGTATACCACACACAAAGCGGGTTTGCTGGCTCCTTATTTAAGGTGCCACACAACAAAGCCACAGAAAAGAAAGTAAAAATGTAATAGAGTTGTACTCGTAGATAAAGTGGAGATATTTATTATCAACGGAAGCCATTGGGGAAATAGTTTTCACTCAAAAGTGCTCCTTGGCTCGCGGCAAGATGGTCAGCCATTGCTGCACCGGAACCCTCTTTGCCAGCCAGCTAAAAGTATTCAGCTGCTGAAGGCTGCGGCGGAAGTGCGTAGACAAAGGCGTCTAGGGATAAACGTTTTGTGTGTGAGTGGAAAAATCCCTAAAGCGAGGCGAAACAACACACGTATCCGGCGAGGCCAGGCATTATCCTGGCCAGCATTCCGTGCGATTTGCTCAACCGTTTCTTGACGTGAGTCAACATAAGTGCGGAGCGACCTCTAGGGTCCAGGTAGGGGACAATGGACTCGCAGACTCATACATACAAATTGCACTTTGAGCGCACACAGGACGCATGCAACTGGGTCAACGTACGCAGGGCCGTGTCCCATGCCCCCGTGGGGCGAGATAGTGTCAGACACAGAAGTCCTGAGGCGCTTTGTTCTGAGCACTGGCGATAAGCATCTGCCGCGCTCCACTGTCCGAGCGTCCCTCCGAAGCGCTGCCATCCAGAAAAGGCGCTTAAAAGGCATGACTCCTCGGACACGGAACACCTAATGACCCTCAGTGCGAGTGGGTGTGAGAACGGGCTCTTAATTGCCAGGACTAGCACCAAAATACCACTTTCCTTAGTCATTAATGAAAGGTGCGAAAGTTTTGAGTGTCTCACCTTTTTTTATTTTAATATTCCATAGGTATTCCATACCCTGTGAATACCCTCTCAGAGATATCTTTTTGGAACTTTGAACAGACCTTAGACCCGCGACGGTTGCTGTTGCTCTGCCACACAGAACTCAATTGAAACGCGCTCAAAGCCTAGCTCAGCGGGAATGAGAATCGCTCAATTGGGGTCTAGATGATGGGGCATGGAGCGTGGGCGGGTGCTCCTCAATTGCCACGAAACGAGATACATTTTTGTACAGAATGCCGTATCGCTTTAATTCGGCGATGACTGCCGAGCAAACAGCACGGAAAAATCTCTTCAAAGTCCAAACGTTTTCTAATTGAGTGTCAAGTTTAAAGATGATGAAAATAAGACTATTGCTGTTGCCGTTGCCGTTGCCGTTGCTGCCCTGCCTGCTGTTCATAGGTCCCCTCAGAGGTGAGTAGAAGCCACTCCACGACACATAAGAGCTGTACTACCCCCATATCATCCCACAGCCAGCTGTCCCATCTATCTGACCATCTCGCTGTCCGGCAAGGCCTTGCATGACTCTTGCCTGGAGGTCAACTGGGGTCCCGACTGTGCCGGGCCGCCCGAATGGATTGGCATCTATGGCCAGGATCCGACCATTTCCAACTTCCAGCCGGATCTGCGCATCAACGGCATTACCAATCGGACAGGCAAACTGTCGACGCCCATAAAGTTGGGCAAGCTGCTGTTTCCTGGAGGATGGAATCGTCAGGATAGCAACGAGCTGCCGGCCACACGGTACCCCAGGGGCAAGTGCCTGCCGCATTATGTGGCCAGCTACAATGGCACGGAGCTGCTTACCGTCGAGTGTCTGAAGATACAGCCCAATTGGATGGCACAGATCAAGGATGGGGACCAGATGCCGCTCAAGAGCCTCTTCCTGCCGGGCAGCCATGCCTCGGGCGCCTTCATTGCCAGCTACAGCAAGACCAAGTCGCTGCTCGTCAAGGACTATCTGGTGGCGCAGCATTTCGATGTCTGGTCGCAGTTGGTCTTTGGCATACGTTATCTGGACTTTAGTGTGGGGTGAGTATTGGCTCGGAATCGAATTGAATTGAATTGATGAAAAGATCATTCTCTCCGTCTCCACAGCTACAAGTACATGGACAGCGACAACGATGCCGACAATTTCTGGATAGCCAACGAGAACATGTTCATCATTCCCTTGGCGGGTGTACTGCGCGACGTTCGTCACTTTGTGGAGCGTTCTGGAGAGCTGGTCATCCTGGACTTTAGCTCCTTCCCCATAGGATTCTACAAGCATCCGGAGATCTATAGCTCGCTCTTTCACCTGCTGCGGCAGGAGCTGGGCGAAGTGGCCTACCAGCGAAATATGACCCTGGATCAGCACTGCGCTAACCGTAACTTTAGGCAGCTCCTGTCGCTGGGCATACATGTGGTGCTTTTGTTTCCCACCCAAGAACTACCCTATCCGGAGAACGGTAAGCTTTGGTAAAAATACCTTTGATGACTGACCTGTCGCTCTGCTCTCCACGCAGAATCGGGCCTCCTCTGCTCGCCATGGCAGCGCTTTAGCACCAGCTACATGAACATCTCCCAGACACTGGACTATATGCGACTGCTGTTCAGCAAGAAGCCTGATGGACCAGTCCAGGATGATGGCTGGATATTCACCGCCGTCAAGAGCATGGAGCAGACTCTCAACACACACAAGCTGCAGACGGCCAAGGAGAGGGCGGCAGTCATCAATCCCAAGGTGAATCAGTGGCTGAAGGGCCCATGGGGCATGAATGCCAACGTCGTGGCCATGGATTACTTCAGCAACACGAATATCGTCGATTTGGCCATAGAAGTGAATGCCCACAAGGCCTTCCTGCTGGCCACGAAGAACAAGTTTATTAACTTGGAAATATTGCGTTAAAAACGCCGAAAGAACTAAAAACGAATTACAAATATCGTTAATATATCCTATATCGTATATTAAATTAAAAACAGAAGTTGGCAGCCCCAAAAGTTCTGACCTATCGCCTAGCTAAGACACAATCCTCTTAGTGTGCATAAACTAACCGAAAAGCTTCTCTAATGCAAGAACCTTATTAGCAAAGCTTTAGCGAATACACGAACCGTCGTCTTTACCCGTTTCTTATTTGAATTCGAGTTTGAAATTGTACGGTCAACTGCCAATAGCCATTTGGCTATTAGTTTTCTCACGATTATCGTCTCTCCGTAATTAAAAACTGCGCGCAATCTAAGGTCAGCGCTTGACTTTTGAGTCATTGAAAATTGAATGTAGATCACCAATTTACATAAACAACATATCGGCTGACAATAGCCATTTACGTCAGGATTTCAGTATGATGACTAGTGCAATGACAATTCCAGCCAATTGACAAATGCCAAGTGTCGAAACATTTAACATTCTTAGCAGTTCCAGGAACGATGACTCAGACAAATTTCATGCAATTCATTCATTAACTTACTTAACAGCAATGCTATCGCTATCTGGCACGTGTGCAATCGGAATGATTGCATTTCCATTATCCATTATCCATTATGCATATGCATACGCTCGTACTCGTATCGAGGTGATGTAACCGTCAAGATGCAAGAAGCCATGTGACAACCGGACCCTCTCATTCGCACTTAACCTCCCCCCACCTGCTAGGCTAGTGCAAATGTCTCACCTTGGCTCATACGAAACCGGATCTGCCAGATCAGAACGTTCCATGCAGCAAGCAAACTAATTGAAGTTAACTGCAAATTTAACCAATGATGTGGAGATTGTGTGTGTGTGCTTTGCTCTCAACTCTCTCACTACGAGCCTCTTGGTTTGCACTTCTCACTCACTCTTTTGCAATTGCAGTTGAATGCACTTTGTGTGGGCGCGTGAGCGTTGATTAATGCCAGACGATATAATCCAATGACTGATAAGACAAGCATTATGTGTCCACTGATCCAACAAAGCGTCCCTTATGCCCTTTGTTGTGGTCCGTAATTATTGCAACACCGAAATATTATTGTCGTTGTGGGGCGGAAGGGGGTGGGGCGAAATTTTGAGATATACGTTTTATAGTGATATCTAACAGGAGTGCGGAGTAACCAAATTTGGTTACTCTAGCGTTAATAGTCTCTGAGATTTGTGAATATCCCCAGATTTTCGTCCTTTGCGGGGGCGGAAGGTGGTGTGTCGAAATTTTGAAACAAACTCGTCTCGGTCCGATATATTAGGACGGACAGACGGACAGACAGACATGGCTCAATCGACTCTGCTATTGATGCTGATCAAGAATATATATACTTTATGGGGTTGGAAACGATTTCTTCTGGACGTTACACACATCCACTTTTACCACAAATCTAATATACCCCAATACTCATTTTGAGTATCGGGTATAATAATAACAAATCATTATTTACGGTCCCTGCTCGAAACTAGAACTGAGCTCTCCTCGAAAATTATAAAGAATGCAGATCTCATAGGTGTTGTATCTCGACAATAAAATTACATCCAATTACTTCAATGAGTACTTCTTCTCTCGTGATCAAAGTTCTCCCCAAACGGTGTGCTCACCGGTGAGCCACTGGCTGCGTCATAGCCGATGATTCGTTCATGGGCGTGCCGTCCCACCAGCGGTGCCTTTGTAGTTTGGTTGCTTTGCCAATCACTCAATCACCCATCCACCCAACCATCCATCCACCTGTAGTGTGTGGGTAAGCAAGTACAAACAACAGGTTGTTTTTTCATATGTTAGTTTTATTATAAATACGTAGTAGTGCATACGTAGATATATTGGCTGCACTCTTATATATTATTATGTCCACATGCAGTGGATTTAGAGGAGCATTTCGAGTCCTAATCAAAATTGTATCTTTATCTGTAGCGATGGCAACGGCCAGCTGAAGGGAAGCCCCTCCAGCTGGCCGTTGCAACCGTTTATTGGGCCTTAATTTGCTACAATTTTGATTAATACTTGAGATCCGCCTAATGGTAGTACTTAAGAAAAATATACACGCATCACATCGGAGAAGGGCTTCCGGCATAACGGGCACTTGGTCACGGACGAGGCGCACTTGGCGCAGGCCACCACATGGCCGCAGGGTAAAAACGCCGTGTTGTATTCTGCGGCATAACAGATCTTGCAGAGCTTCTCCTCGGGAATGACCGGCGAGCCGTTGGGCGCCGGTGGGGGACCTCCAGCCGTGCCGGGAATGGCCCCTGTTGCCGTGGTGGTACTGGCGCTCGACACGATCTTCTCGTATATGCAAGTGGCCGCCGATGGGCCCACATCGCCAAAAGGGGCCCCGACTGTCGCCGTCGCGGCTGGTGTCGTTGTAGTGGAGGAAGCTGCAGCTGGCGTCTCGTCTGCGCTTGTGCTGCTCTCTTCTTTCTCTGCGACTGGCTCCGGCTTGGCAGCCACAGTGTCGATGTATCGCTGCCCCTTCATCAGTTTGACGAAGCGGCACTGGCTCAGCCAGAGAGCGTGCTGCTCCCAGGGCTCGTCGTTGTCGTCCCAGTCCTTGAGACCACCGCCGCAGCTGAAGCAGCGGACGCGGTCGCCGACGCCCGTGTAGAAGAAACCCGCCTCGGCGAGCTGCATTGGCTTCTGCTTCAGGTTGCGCGGCCACTCCTCGAAGCTGCGCAGGCGCGTCGACTCCACAGCGTACTCGGGGTGCTCGGGAAAATAATTTCCGCTGGCTACCTGCCGACACGACTCCGGATGGACATCCCCGTTGGCCTGGGTGGCCGCCGTCGAGGTGGCAATGGAGCTCATCAGCGGGGATACGGCGGTATTCGTGGCGATGGACTGGGCAATGTGCGACATGGGTATGCGGCCCTCGGCATAGGCGCTCTCGCGAAGCTCGACCGTCGAGTCGTTGGCGCCGCAAATGTCGTAGCTGATGGGGGGCAGGATGCGGTCGAGGGCCTCGCTGTTCAGCGGCACATTGTTGGTGGTGCGACGGCGCAGGAGCGGACAGTTGGGCGACCAGCGCAGGTGCTCAGGTACAGGTTGATCATCGAGATCCCAGCGCCCGATCTCCACCTCGCAGAAATAGCACTTGACCTTATCGTTATCGTTCGTATAGAACATGCCCGTTCGGGCCAACTGATGCTTGTCGAGCCACGCCAGAGGCCAATTGGCGAAGGTTTTCAGGCGCGCTTCCTCCCGATTGTACTCGTTCATGATGTTGTAGATGTTGTTCTTGAACAGCTGCGTAGCATTCGTATTGTTGTCCACCTGGTCGAGAACCGCTGTCAACTCGAGTGCAGCAGTCGGTCCATACATGTACCTCGGATTGGTTAATACATTTGCCATGTTGCTCTCTGTTTGCTGTTGCTCTTATCTACTCTGGATTGTTGTTGTTCTTGTTGTTGTTGTGGGTGGAACAGATCCGTTGTTTCTCCTTCAATTACTCCCCTCTGCTGTGCTCGAAACTGTAATGAAAAAACGTACAAGAATGTCGGTTAATATATATATTTTTTGCTATCGTCTAAATAAAGCCACCTTTCCTCTCCACTTGAGCCCCCCGTGGTCCGTGGTCCGCGCTGCTTGTGCACCCAATCGGCGCCCCTACCAAGATACTACACACATTTGCAATAAACCGAAAAAATTCCTTTTTTTTTGCCGCAAAAACCATTTTGATGTCGCGTACATTTTATCATTTTATACAGCTCAAAAACCGTTTTATCAACCTTATCACTTGATTAATTTATACCTTTCCAGAATAAATCGTCTATATGTATATAGTTTTGAACACACTCGACCGACCGACAGACAGACAGACAGACAGACAGAAGACACTGGAGTCCGCGAGCCTTGTGTGTATATGGAAAACTGAAAAACTGAAAGCTGAAACGCAGTTCAAGAAACTGGAGATGGATGCAGCATCAACGAACCTTAAGAGCCCTTAAGGGCAGGCCACCGGACGACACAGTAGTCGTCTCGCTCGCACGCACGCACGCACGCCACTGTTTAGCGCCGTCCGAAGGGTGGTTTTCCCTTTTGGGTAGGAAAAATCGCGACAAAAAATACGTCGAGGCATGGAGTACGCAACGTTACAACCGCCCGTGACAGCACTGCGCCGAAGCGATCACAGTCGGACGGACTGAATGGGTGGGCGGTTTAAAAGGGTGGCAGTGGCAATGGCGCCTAGAAGCTGCGCGACAGCACGCTCAGTGGCTGACTCACTCGAACGTACTTCAGTTGATACATGAGGTATATATACTGGTTAATTTCGACAACAAGTTGTTTACAAAGGCGGCACGGCACACGACAACGCAGCATAGGCGGATATGGTAATCGAGAGATAGCAGCCCACACAGATTTGTAATATGTATCGTAACCACAGTAAGAATCGTGGCAATTATAGTAATAGCAGGAAGACTATACTATCTCAGATCTGCCAGCAAATACAGTGATGGCTCCCTTATCGGAATTGAGTAAGAGAATGAAATCTATCGGAGTACTACTATATGCACATACATACATATGTACATACATGTGCATAATCTTATCAATAAGTAAAAAACGTTCCACTACGAATGGGAAAGGGCAACCCCATACCATGGATCGACCATTAGCTGCTGCCGGAGGAAGGCCTGCTGCAAACTTTTTTAAGCCGCAATGTTTGGTGGTCTTTAAAGAGATTGTAAAGCCGTTTTTCGACATTTACACTCGGTACGAGTGCTTCGGCTTGGGGCATGGCACGAATGCGCTCCGTTCAAAGTCCAAATTTCAGCCACAAACCAGCCAAACCCGCCAAACAATTGTGCATCGTGGGGCACCCAGGGGGTGGTGGTGGTCGTGGTGGTCGTGGTGGTGCCATGCACTGCAGGCCTCTCTGACTGTGAGAAAGTTTTAATGGAATGCAGTCAAACCACTGTGGAGACGGCGCACTCTGCGGTAGAGAGGCGTGAAGTGGAGTGGGGTTTTGGGGGGGCTGGCATGGGGCTTGCCAGCATAAAGCGCAGCATAAGCCAGAGCAGCGGCCAGGCCAGTGAGTGCAAGCGAGACAGCACTGTGGTGTGCAGACGAAAGAAACCATCAATGGGAAAAACAACTAACAACGAGAACACACACACACACACACTCACATGAACTAAAAGAGAGAGGAAGAGAGAGAGCGAAAGAGAGATGGAGATGGAGAGCAGAGGGCGAAAAACAAATGCAATTGTAAATGTAGAAATGCTGGTGACTTCTTGAGGCCTCAGTTGAGGGGGAAATGGTGGAGTGGTGGAGTGGTGGACGGAGAGAGCTGGGAAGCTGGAGGCTACTGGACTGGTGGGCTGCTCTGTAGAGGCTCCAGAGATTGCACACTGCATTGTTCAAGTGGAGCAACAAAAGATGGAGAGCTTGAGATGCAGTTGCTGCTGTCGCTGTCGCTGTCTCTGTCTCTGTCTCTGTGTCTGTGCCTGTGTCTGTGCCTGTGTCTGTTCAATTACAAACCGTACATATTTGCAAAGACGAGGCAAAGTGCGGTACAAAGTACAGGCCGTATTGCAATTACAGCTGCCTCTCTCTCGCCTTTCTCGCCGTTCGATGTTATTTGTTATTGTGGAATGCCAGACCCAGACCCCAGACCCCAACCCCCAACCCCCACCCCTCCCCCTTATTAACAATTGTAATTTAAACGCTCTTTGGAATTTCTCGCTTCTCTTTTTGCTTTTTTTATTTTTCCAGGAAATTCAGGCAAAAGTTGAAATCAGTGTTGCCGTAGCCCGGGAATTTGCATTCATTTAATACATACATCTGTATGTATGGGCACACACTTACCAGGGCGGGCGTGAAAATACAGGGCTGGAGCAGCGAACTTTTGCAACTACGAGTGTTTTGGATTTGAAACTGTTTTTGAAACCAATCCAAACCGAACGAACACGAACCAGCTACAAGTCAAGATCGAGACACATGGACCCGTGGAGCGCCTTCTCCCAGCACCAACCGAATGCACACTGACACAAGGCCTCCCTGGGCGCATGAATGGCATGGGAACAGAAAATCTCAGCCAAGAAATACCAAAGTGGAAAGACACAACACAACAACATAGGAAAATCATAATCAAAGGCCAGGCCAGCCCAGGAGGCAAGGCAACAAACAGAGGAATAAAAGAGCTCAAAAGACAAGATCTACGAGGAGGAGAGAGGAGGGAGGAGGGAGGGGGAGGAGGAGGAAGGAGGAGGAGAGACCCAAACCTAAAACGAGGCGGCAGCCCCGCAATGGAATGGAATGCAGTCGTGCAACTTTTCTACAAACTCCGCCGCATAAAAACGCTAAAGTTGGAGCTGCTTTTCGAGTTTTCTGATTGGAATAAACCAAAGCCAGTCTCTGTCTCTACCTCCGTCTCAGTCCAAGCTCTGGGCCTGGCTGGGCCTGGGTGATTGGAGTTTTTACTTGTTCTCGTTCTCCCTGTTGTTGTAAGTGAAGGTAACCGCAGAGGCTCAACCATGGAAAAGGTTGTGTGTTGTGTTGTGTTGTGTCTCTCTCTGTGTATGTACCATGGGAGCCCCTGAGCCAAAGCCGATACTGTGGGAAACTATTATAAACACTTTACCATTCTTTTTGTTGTTGTCTTCGAGATTGGAATGCGGTGATACCAGATACGACAACAACAACATGAGACGGAACAGAGCAGGACAGATATACATATACATATACATATACATATGTATATATGTATGGCCAGAGAGACAGAAAGAAGATACCAGAGACCCATGCATGAATCGTCATCGTGCTCGAATCTCATGAAGAGAGAGAGAGGGAAGAGACCATCAACAAAAAAAATAAAGCAGGAGGAGGGAGGCTACCTTCTTGGGTCGAATCTTTAGATACCCTTCCAGATCCATCCCTTTCTATAAAGCCGATCGTCCTACTATGTCTGCTGTAGGACTTGCCTATATCGACTAGGGTGTTCATGTTGATCAAGAATATTAATACTTTAAGAGACCAGAATCAGACATATTTCCTTCCCTAAGTGGCATGCATCTAGTCAGTATAATAATACTCTCTCGCAGAGCATCACAAGGCATCAACAAACATACACGACACACAAAGAACATTCTTGCATGATCTCCCTCTCTCTCTCTCTCTATCTCCACCTTCTTCTTATGCGAGTTCGAGCGCGAGTGCGTGTTTGTGTGTGTGTTTGTGTTTGTGTGTATGCTGTGGCCTTCCAAGAAATGCAGAACCACACAAAACGACCGCCGACGTCGCCAACGATGTCGATAAAACATGGGATGCTGGGCTCTGGAGCTCATGATTCGCTTCTCTTTCCAACAAAGGGCAATATTGTAATCATAATAAATGCGCCTGAGCCGCTGCTGCAGAATGCATTAAGAGCGGCCTCATGCCGTCCCTGTCTGTCTGACGGTCTACCCTATTGAACATTGATCGATTGTCCAAAAACTAACGGCGGCTCAGTTCAAAGACCTCCCCGCCCGCCCGCCACCGCCAACCGTGCCGGCGGTGTAATAGGGAATGGGAATTGGAAAAGCCAGCCAAAGAAAGAAAACCCAAAGTCAAGTCGTGCTCGCCTTTATCATGGCAGCATCGCATCGCATCGCATCTCTTCCCTTACATCCAATCTATGAGACTTGGTATGTGGGTACGCTCTCATGGAAATTCCCGAGAGCGCATTAAATGCGCCTCGTTAGTGGAAATAATGGTTGAAAGGTCGTTTTTCACGCCGGACGAGACGAGACGAGACGAGAGGGGGCGAGACAAGGCAAGGCGAGGCTCAAAGGCCGGCAAGAGATGATTCAGCTGGAGAGCTCAGAAAATTCCGGGAATTCCAGAATGTAATTTTCTTCATCTTATGCTGCCTCCCCCCCCCCCCCCCCCCCCCTTTCGCCTGTGTCCCTTTCAAGGGCCGCCCTGGTCCATTCCCATTCATGCTGATTGCCGTCGCGTCTGCTGGCGATAACAAATGAAAATAGGATGAAAGACAATACTTGTATCCCATTGTGTTCTGTTCTATTTCGGGAAAATTCAACTCCCACCATTTCCCCTACACGTGAGAGCTGTTGATTAAGCACGTCGCGTCGTTTTATTGGTGAAAAGCGTGGAAAATCCACTCCATATTCGTTCTTTCTTCAGTGCAGTGTGGGAGTAAGAATTACAGGGACCACCACCAGCGTTGTGTAGGTGTATTGTGGGATTAGGTGTGGGTGTGGGCACGGGTGCGGCGACAGACTGCAATGGAGACTGGCAATAATGGAAAAAGTTGCATCTCGACGAATCGCGACGTTGGCAGCGCAAAATATTGAGCTCGGCTCGGGCAAAGCTCAAGCTGAGGCGACTGACTTTCTCTTTGTTGTGTATTGTTGCCTTCTCAGAAATGAACGCAAAAGTTCAAAGCAATGAAGCATAAAAGGCACAGCAAAAAGCATAGTGAACATTGGCAACAATGCACAACAATTTTGAGCTGGGCTGGAAGGACAGAAAGCAAACGGAACGGCAGAGGCACGGCACGGTCTTTGACCATGGTTTATGGATGGACTAGGGCTGCTCTTCTGCTTCTGTTTCTGCAGAGCGGAGCACGCATGAGTGCACCACTTCCGTTCAGAGCGGATGTGCCAGACAAAGAAGGTAATGCTTTGCTGGTGAGTGACAGAGAGGAGAAGAGCGGATAAGAGTGGAGTGGCGCAGGGCTGGGCTCGGATTATGTGACATGAGCGTGTGTGTGTGTGCGTAAAAGGAAGTGCATTACACATAGTGTATCGTGTATCGTAAAAAGTAAAGTGTGTACCCAGCAAGCGACGAGTCATACAACATCTGCTTCTTGGTGTACGATGATGCCATGATGATACTATTAGAAACAAACAATTCCAATTAACTTGGAACGGAAACGGGAGAGAAGTTCTCTGCGGACTCGTGTGTCATAGCCTGACCTTCTAGTCTGTTAAATTTGAGAGCAAACTGGTATATTATTTTGCATGGCTGTAGTCATCGTTTAATTATATAGACGAAACCGCCTATTGCGTATTCCAAAATTCGGATGAATACAAAATTGGTGCCATTGTGCCCGACAACAGCCATCAGACAATTGAGAATGTTGTTTTTAAACGAAGACTGAGGGGGGTTGCGAGGTTGTATAAAAAAATAGGGTTACCATATGGTTACCAGCCTAAAAATGCCGTGCAAACAGTCGTGTGTCACATTTTGTTGTGATGTTTACATTTTCACAATCAGAAAAATTGGCAACGCCCTGACGGTAAACAGAAATGGGTAATTTTGTAAACAATTTGCAGTAAAACAACATTGCAAGCATTTAGCAACTCTACGGTCGCCATCTTTTTATGAAACATTCGCTGCTGGTTGTGTTGTGTACGAGCGAACGGACACACAAAAACATATGCACAAAAACCACCCGACAAAAATTAAGCAAACGTTTTCGCCACATATGACTAACGATTTGAGCTGATGTTTTTGCTTATTAATTTACACTGCTTTTTAGCTATATTTACTCATCACTAAATGCATTTACATATTCGACCTTTTCTTAACCACACCAAATCACATTCGACAATTTTGTCAAATGCACAACAGTTGTACGATAGCCGTGTGCTGGTGTGCGAGTTGTGGTTTTTTTTCTCGGGCATGTTAGTGAACGTAAAAGCAAATACACGAAAATGTGTTTCAGCTTTTGGTCGTCTGATGTCAGAGCATTTTTGGGGTTAAATTCGGTTAAAATACACTAAATATACACAACTGCAGCTCACCTTGACAATTTTTCTCTTATATTGAAAAACTCAAGTTCCCCTAGTGATTTCCCTTTTGCTGTGAGATTCGGTGTCACAGAAAAAAGCATATACAGTGCTGTTTTCACAGTTATATTGATTTTCTCGTGAGCTAAATGATCGGAAAATAAAACGAACACTTTGACACGTACACGCTCTTTTCTTTTACAAGTTCCGTTTTTGTCAACAATTTCAATGCCAACTATCACAATGGAGTCCGAGAAATACTTTAGTTTTTGTACTTATTATTTGTTATTCTATGATTAAATGCAGAAGTTTATATCAACATCGAAGTGCCGCGGTGAGAATATCCATGTTTATCATTCGAGTAATTTTTTCCGAATGACAGCACCGAGTCGAGCCGAGCCGAGACGAGCGTGTTTTTGCGTTTCGCCGTCGAGTAAAAGCGAGACGACACAACTAACCGCACAGGGTAGATTTCTAAGAAGGTATGGTATGCATCAGAGTGAGCATAAGAGAGAATTAAACCATACCTTGATGTTGGTGTTTATTTACCCATTCTGCGCTTTAGAACAGCTGCAAATTGGGAAAACCTTTATAAAATAAACCCCAACTTAATGCAAGAATACAATTAATTTATTTATGGTCTGCATTTGGACATTCTCTTCGCATTCGGCATATTCGTCAAAACAACATATGGAAACTTCCACTCCACCCTCGAATGACTGGCCATGACGATGAACTGCATCCATAATCGTGTTGGCGCAGGCTCGTACAACCCTCTACTACGGCTAGTATTAGTACGCAAGATGTACCGTACAACCGCCAGGACCAGCACTACGGTTATCCTTTTCCCACTAGCCAGAGCCCATTGGAACCTCCAGGATCATTGATTTTTTCGAGCTTCTGCCAGGGCATGCGCCGGGAACGGCTGTTGGCCGCGGCGCGTGTCAATGCACCATCGCTGCTGCAGTCACCCGGCCCTGCCCACAAACAATTCCTCCGGCACCTTCCAGAGGCAGACGCTCGCTCCTCTGCCTGGGCGGAACGGGATCGGGATGGAGAGGCGAGTGCGTCGACAGCAGCTGCGGTTTTTTGTGTATGCGCCTTTTTCACTCCGACCCTCACCTTTCCTCTGGCACTCTGTCTCTTTCTCTGCCTCGCTATCTCGCTTTAGCCTGTCTGGTCTTTTGTTGTTTCATTCGACAGCTGAAAATTCAGGGCAGTCTCTTATCACAACAGTATCTTTAAGCCAGGATGGACCTAAAACTCCAAATGGAAAATTCTACAGAATTCTAGAAATTGTTACCAGCTACAAGACTCGAGAACCTTCCTCGGGGTAGCTTAAAAATCTATTAATTAGCTCTATATTTGCTCTATTTCTTACCTCATTAAGTCATTCTGGGTAAATATTCAAAAAATCTGATCCCAAAACTGATACAGGCCACCGCTTATCACCACGAACATTCTGGGGTTAATGAAGTGGGACATAAAAAGTTATAGAAGATCGATTTGACTACCCCCCGAACCAAAAGCAGAATCACTCTTTTTATTTTTTATTTACTATTTACTATTAAAAATCAGTTTTACTTAAACTATGTTCTAATATCTATGATATCCAACGATGATATCTATGATATTATTTATATTTACAATGGATTAATACTTTTTTTAAGAGTTTAATAGTTAGATTTATATATAAATTTTGATGAGATGATATCAAGAAAATTTGGAGACGTTTAAGTCTACGTGGGATTTAAGGGTGATTCAGCTGCATTGTGCCTATATCAGTCAATGGTTAATTTTATCCCCAGTTTTGGGGATGTAAAGATCTCTTTCAATCATTGTGGTCCGAACTATCTATGGTCCGAGGAATTATCATTGTCTTGTACAACAAGACTTTGCAACGTAGGAGATGTTTACTTTTTGAGTTTTTAAGTTTATTTTGGCATTTGTAACTGGCATAACTGTTCTGATGTGTGGTCCCTAGTGAAGTGAAAACAGAGGTAGCAGTGGAATAATATTGCCGTTGAAGGTTAAGTTTGGTAGGTGTTTACTTCTTAAATTGAAATATACGTTTACTGATTCGCTTTCGTTTATTTTTTTGCCCATGTCCGTGGAAACTCGAGGTCAAGTTTGAGTTGCTCAGCAACGACTTTTTAGCAGGATGATGAGAGCATGGCAGTATTATAAACGAAAGTAGCGACCAGGAAGTTACCTGGGTTGTCATGGAAATAGGGTATGCAAAATTGGACCAAGAGCGCTGTCTTGTGCGTTTTTATACCAGAAATCGCGTGTAATCATTGTAACAATAAAAGTTCTTTCACTCAGGAATGATTTGATGACCGAATACCGGGGGACTGGTAAGAGGATCTTTGGTTTGTATAAAAGGTCCTTGTGCCAGACTTTGTCGAAAGTTTGTTTCACATCGAGAAACACCCCTGAACAATATTACTTGGTTTCATATGCGTTGGGAATGAGATGAAAAGCTCTGTGAACTTGCTCCGGAGTCCCATGCTGTCTCCTTAACCAAAATTGATGCTGTGCAGCTTTCCGCCACCATTCTGCTCAAGAATATTCTTTCAAATGTCTTTGAGAGAACTGGCAGGGCTGCCGCTGGCTTGCCTGGCTTTAAAATCATCACAATCAGGCCATTGAGTGGGTAAGTGACCGATGCAAGGAATGGCCTAAAAGTTGCCTACTGAAACGAGAAACATAATTCCCTTGCCTGCAAGCAGTCTAGCAATGCGATTATCAATTAAGTGGTGCCCAGGAGATATTTTTTTGACAAGGACTTTAACTTCCGCTTGGACTTCAGCGGGAGAAACTGGCTTGGCTGGTAATGACATCTTTAAGGGCGCTTCTAATTACCAGGAGACTGCTAGCGTGTGATCTTGAGGTGCGACATCGGCTTGCAAACTCTTCTGCTTTTTCAGAGTCTGGTTCGACCCACGATCCGTTGTCACTCGTTACTGGAGAGCTGCACAGTGGGTGCCTCTTGATGAATTTCCAGAGATTAACTTGTCCACTTTCGAATGAATCGGCTCTTTTTAGCGTTTCTTAGCCTTCTCTTGATACGCAAAGGTTTTCGATGGGAGGATTAGGTGATGCAACAGGTCGGGTCGAGTGCACCTCGGATGCGCGTGTGTCTGCGAATAGAGCTGTTTTCGAGATAAGACTGTTAAGATTGCGTATAGCTGAATCAGTGTCTTCTGGCACAGTACTCCGCACTCAGAGCAGCTCTCAAAACTACATGTATTTTCCTTTAGCTGATACGCATGTTTCTACTTTCCAGCTGCCCCTTAGTACATATTGAAAGATTAGAACAAATAATATTATTCAAATGGGAATAGGTTCCGCTGATATTGTTTGGTCTCTCCCACCATTGATCTTTGTTCCTATACTTCAATACTGATAAAAGTATCGTCTGTATGTGGGTACGGCAAACCATAAAACAATATTCCTTTCTATCGCATATACCCTGCAAAATCTTGTATACTTTTGGGTTGTCGACTTGAAGAGTTCAGTCTTGTTGATAACATAATAAATAAATGAGCCTAGCCAGATTTTTATTCCGTTGGCGAATAATAAATAAAGATTAGATAAATAAAAATTTTCTGAGATACTGCATTGAAGTTTTACGTTCTCATATATGAGATGGTATTCAATTTCATTCTGATAATCTCACCTTGTAGATTGATCGATTTATATACATAATAAATTTTCTTTGTTTCTTATTAAGGGTAATTTTAACTGCCCATACACAAAAGATTCTACTAAATATTGTGTTTAATCAAAGGTGTTGCTCTTTGCTATTTTTAATTAAAAATCCATGGCATGTCACAGTGGCTATATCTGGCGCGCTGACGGCTTGCAGTAATTAATTTCAAAGGAAATACCAGCACGTTTATCAGTGGGACTTGGGCAGATACAATAAGATTGCCCGGTTGAATCATGTATGGAAATCGGAATGGTGACAGCATGCGACATTCGCATAGTGAACCTAGCAACGCAACCGAACCGCAGACGCGATGAACTTTTATGATTTTATAAATAAATGATGCTAAATTTACCGAGAAGATGTCGCGACGCATTTCAAAAATCTGCCCGTCTAGACGACTTTGACAGGTCTCCTCTGGAGGAGAGAGACCAAGTCGAATACGGAGTCCACAGTTCAACCGAAATCCGGCGGAGATGCAAATTTTATTTGTGGATGGCAAAATGCAGTTTTTCTTCGGCTGTTTTTCATTTTCAGTTGCAAAAGATCATTTTGCTGACCACACACACACACACACACACACACAGACAGGCGTGAGTCTTGAGCTACTCAACCAAACCACCAACCCCAACCCCCACCCCCACCCACACCCCCACCCGAGAACGCAGTTGTTGGACAAGTTTCAGTTGTAAATCCCTGGCTCAAGCCAAACGGCCTTGCAAGGCCTTTTAAAGTTGTTGCACTCGCCTTGTTCTTGTTGTTGCTGTTGCTGTTGCTGTTGCTGTTGCTGCAAGTGTTTATTGTAAGAATACACACCCATACATATTTGAGTACTGCATGACCGATGCAGAGAGTACTAAAACTATGATAAAACGTTGTTACGACGCAGAGAAAACCGCCACGAGATTAAGGAAGATTATGCTTTTTTCAATAAATGTTTAATATTCCCATGGATCTGATCGATACACATACTATTCCTCATTGTATCAGTCTATGGAATCTACGGCCTGTGGATCTATTGCACAGGCAGTACAGGTACAAGAGTGTACAAACTTCGACATTAAAGATTGCTCACCAGGGCAGTGTTTGTATATATAATTTTCTCGATTGTTTGTTGCTAAGTTTGTGGTTTTTAATTGACAGCCGAATGCAGAGAGTCATAACCGGTTTGCTTTTGCTATATTTTTGCATTCTACTCTTGTGCACAGTGATCGGCAATTGGCAAAAAGGTGTCATAACAACAAGTTGGGCACGACTCCGATTCTCGATTAGATTGCCTATTACGACATCTGCGCTGCCCCTGCTCCAGCTTCTGCACCGCTGAGTGCGCATACCTGCCTTAATCAGGGCTAAGAAGTGAATAGCATAGGAAATTGCCGTCGTGTGCCGGCAGCTGCAAGCCAATCCAAAGCGATCTGATACCCGAAAAACAGGGCCAACATCTGCCGAGGCCGGCAGCCCCTTGTCTGTGTTCTTATTGTGTCCGCTTTCAGTGAAAGGATCTCGCGGCACATGACGTTGCCAGCTGGCAGCTGCCACTTCCACTGCCACTGCTCGGGACAGAAGATCCTTTGTCGTAGACTTGAGGCCACCGACAGGCGACGAGGGATGCACTAAACACGTCCCAATACAGGCACGAACGATCCACGAAGGTGTGGATCCTGTGGATCTGCCTGGAGCACTCATCAAGTGATCTCTTCTGCCAACAGATTAAAAACAACATCTTTTGAGTGATATTTTGAGTGAGCATAGCAGCCTGATTGGAGAATATCTGACTCGCTCTCTCCCAGTGTGGCTTAGCAGTAGTGTTGTGTTGCTCATGAGTGAGTGAACAAAAAAGAGTTGTTCACTTAAGTGAGCAACTGAACACGTTCCTTCCAAGCTGTTCTTTTTTGTTCACTTGTTCTTTTTTGCTCACTTGTTCTTTGTTGTTCACTTGTTCATTTTTGCTCACTTGTTCTCTACTCACTTTTTGCGCAATTTTGCTCCTCAAAGGGCATTTTGCGTTCTGGCAGCTGTTGCTCATATTTGCTTTTACTTCACACTTTTTGTACTACCGGCAAAACTGTTTATTCTTTTGAAATTCGAAATAGTTCGAAGTATATTCGATACTTCGAAAGTATAGTGAAATTTGGAATCATTGCAATTTTTTTTTTTTAGTTTCAAATGTTTGATTAAATGTTTGAAATTTAACCTATTTTATTTGTGTCAAAATCTGTGGTGCTTAGTGATCTGTGCGTGAACAGTGAGCAATGAGCAACTGAGCAACACTTACTAAAAAAGAACAAAATGAGTAATGTTTACCCAACACTACTTAGCAGTTAAGTATATTCTCCCCTATTTTGAAGATTGTGGGCGTATGTTCCTGGTACATATAATAGTATGACTAGACGAAAGCGACCACTCATTGATAAAACGAATGTCATGAAAAATTCGTAGTAAAACATAATGACACATTTTATTATTTAGTAACGGCAACACAAGTGTTTTCGGTTCTTTCTATTCTGTTTTTGAGCCGGCATCACAGTCGAAACGAAATGTGCTTTTGTGTATTTTTGCAACTGATGACAAAATGACACGTTTTAAAACACTTGATGTATTGCAGATAAGACAATTAAACTGGAAAGCCCACGTATTTATATTTGCATTACAATTTGAGAGCTACACCCTCTCTATGAAATGTACCCTGCATTGCAGTTCCATTCCACAAAAGTGGGTTTACTTTTCGAAACTAAAATAGGAGTGAGGTAAGCAGCTGATTATATAGTCGAAAAGCAATCAATCTTTGAAACCTACGCATCAGGCTGTAAATGGAAATGGCATTGAGCGGTAATTAAAAATAGGAAAATTCTAGTGAAGCAAGTTCTGGGCGTGGGTGTATGGGGAATGGGTGGAGTGGGTGGCCGGGTAGTGTTTTCTGGTTGGTTTCGTCATGAATGAAATGCGCTGCAACGTCAGCATAATGGGGAAATATAAAAGCACGGAAAAACAATCTGAATTGTGTGGTAATCTCCTAGGAGTACATGAGTTAGAGCAGGATGGCTATATATACAGATATAGTGTATCCATAGGGGAGGGAGCATTCGAGATTGCACACGATTTCGAAATGCCTGGAAAATTCTAGAGGGAAAATAAGTGGAGTGGAGTGGAGTGGAGTATGCATGCCATGAATGAAGAGAGTCGTTCAAAGTGGAGCCGGGTGTGGGGGAGGGAGACAGACAGAGGACTTTGGAACACCCTAACCCCGGGAGCATCGGAAAAGGTCCTGTGTGTGTGAATGACCCGTTCCCCAGGAAGTGCAACAGTCTATAGTCCCTATGCATCATAATTTCTTATACATATGTACATAGGTATTTATTCGACTTTTAGACTCACCAAAGACATTTTCAATGATTAATCCCAATAAAAAATATCATTGAAAATAATTATTTGAGTTTCTCGCACATGTAATTTTTGGTTATTTTTTTTGTAATAATAATAGAAGAGTAATAGAGGCGGTTCCACAATGCTCTACTTTAGAAAAAAAAAAATAATAAAGTAGATAAGATAGTTTGCACTGCACTTTAAAAAATGTTTGTTTTTGTAGAGGAACGGAACGTTTCCTAGTACCGACCGGTAGGTTGGGTTGTCACGCTGCGACTACGGCAGCAAAACTATATTCTATAGCCCCCGTCTAACCCACTTTCCCATAGGTATGTACATACATATGCACATATTTGTTATTTTTTCATTTGTTTTTTGTTTTGCTTTGCTTTCTAGCTTTTCGTACACAGGCATCGGTGCGGGACGAATAGTGTTGCGCGCCAAAGCACTGCGCAATTTTTTCGGGGGGTGGGTTCTAATAGAGAGCACTCGCAACACACGACTCTCTCTTTCTCTTTCTCTCTCATATTATCTATCTCTTTCAACTCTGTGAGGGGTGGTCGCACAAAACGAATTTTTGGCAGTTATGTATATAAAACTGCAATTTGCGGAGAATCTCACGAAAATCCGTTACAAAACTTTCAAATTATATTCCTGCATCCCTGGCAACAGAGCTGCCAGATGTCATACATATACACTGTATGTACACACTATTGGTGGCAACTTTCGTATTAATTTAATTTTTTTTATATTTATTTTTGACATTATTATTATCTTCAAAATAAAAATAAAGCACAAGATTTGTTTCTTTAACGTAAAAGAATGCAATGTAATTTTCACGATTTTGAAAAACAAGCATCTCGTAAAGTTTCCGTTACAAACACCGATCGATACTTTTGTACGATATTTTCAAATATATTTTCAGATAAAGTGGTAATAGGCTAGGGACGCTGGAAGGACTACAAGAAGAAATAGGTCAAGTAGTATATATGTATATATTTATGCATATGTAATATATACCTCTATATCTATACATCTACAAATAAAGTATGAATAAAAATATAAAATTTGGTCTTTTTCTAAAGTCTTTTTTTAAAATTTTTCCGCCTTTTGTACTTCTATCGACCAATTTAAAAACTCCATTTCTATTTTAAGAAACTTGCAGAAAATTTTAAATTGGAACAGGATATGCGGGTGTGACCACCCGGCTTGTAATTTGTAATCCACATGCCACTTGCTAGATTGTTATTATAGTACCAATAGTACTAACGAACATGACTATTTCTTAGACTTGGATAATTCAAAATTATTCCGCCTATCGCAAAAAAGTATCGATTTTGATATCACCCTAGACAGTGCTGCCCATTACGCTTTTTTCCCGTCAGATCTGGCTCTTTTTGAAGACCAAATGCGGGAATAATTTGTGAATTGCGGGAGGCGGGAATTCTGGATTTTTTATAAATGTTTTGGCTTTTTTCAGCTTTCGTGATGTTGCCACCGGTTACATAAAAAGGGAGAAAATGTGGCCGGTTCTTAATTATTTGTTAACGATATTTGCCAATACGACTATTTTACCAGATAATTTATAAATTCTAAAACAGGTTGACTTTTCTCCGTCAACAAAATCTTGTGCGCTAAGAAAATTAAATTACAAAATTTTGGATTACCTTAAAGTTGAAAAGATTCAGAAATTGAATGCAAATCATCGAGATCCCAGCGCCCGATCTCCACCTCGCAGAAATAGCACGTGACCTTATCGTTATCGTTCGTATAGAACATGCCGTTCGGGCCAACTGATGCTTGTCGAGCCACGCCAGAGGCCAATTGGCGAAGGTTTTCAGGCGCGCTTCCTTCCGATTGTACTCGTTCATGATGTTGTAGATGTTGTTCTTGAACAGCTGCGTAGCATTCGTATTGTTGTCCACCTGGTCGAGAACCGCTGTCAACTCGAGTGCAGAAGTCGGTCCAGACAAGTACCTCGGATTGGTAAATACCTTTGCCATGTTGCTCTCTGTTTGCTGTTGCTCTTATCTACTCCGGAGTGTTGTTGTTGTTGTTGTGGGTGGAACAGATCCTTTGTTTCTCCTTCAATTACTCCCCTCTGTTATGCTCGAAACTGTAATGAAAGTGCGTACAAGAATCACGAAAAATATATGTGTATATTTTTGTATGTGTGTTAAGATAAAAAGCTATCAGCTAGTACGTTAATATTAAATTAACGAATAAGGGTATATACGTGTTTTAGTCAAAATACAATAAATGCGAGCTGAGAGCTCTACTATCAAAAACGACGAATATTTATAATATATCTTGAATTCGTCAGTATATTTATGGTATATTTTTAAAATGTGACGGTATATTTTGGTATATTTCAGCGGAGAAAATCAGCTGATTTTTTTACATTTCCTCGATTTCAGCTGAGAAAATCAGAAATATACCAAAATATCACTATCGATAAGTCCGATATCAACTGGTCACCTTCTTGCGTGTACAAAAATTCATTACAATCATGGTGTTTTTAATACTTTTCGAAATTTGTTTATGTCAAAATTTAACCGACGGTATATTTACGGTATATCGATATATATTGAAATATTTGATCGATTTCATCAATCTAATAAATTTCTTTTCAACGTTATATAGAAATCCAATAAAAGAGAGTGTTTAAATTAAGCCAGCCAATTAGAAAATAGATTCATTAATCGGATAAAACTATGTGAGCTTGGCTAAATGTTCTATATAGCTGAGAATATTCCTCGGAAGATCAAAAACGAGGAATATGTAAAATAAAACTTGAATTCGTCAGTATATTTACAGTATATTTTTTAAATGAGAATATTTCTGAGGGTCGGACGGTATATTTTATCGATAAGTCCGCGGTCACACTGATTACAATTTTTTCTGCCGTGCCGTTTTTTTCGTGCGGACTAATTTGTCGAGCGAAAATATGCAAAATAAAGTGAAATACTTGTGCAGCGCACGAATGAAGCGCGCAAGCATAGCGCCCGCTAGCCAATAAGCCCGACCGACCATATAAGCCACCTCAAAGGGATCCGCCGCAAACAGGGGAAAGGTGCGTGCCCTGCGTTTCTCGATTTTTTTTTTGGTGTGTGAAAAGTTTCTACTGCAATCCATTTTTCTCTACGTGCGTACGTGTTTGTGTGTGTGTGTGTGTGTGTCAGTGACTGAGTGAGTGAGTGCTGTTGTGCGGTGGAATGGGGAGCTGTAAAAATGCCTTTACATAATTACACACAAAACGAAGAGTTTTTTTTCCGTGCTGTGCAACTAAAAATTATATACATTTTAAAGACAAATTTGCGTGCGTGAAAAAAAGAGCGGCTTCCATCTTTCGTTCTATTTACCCGCGACGTCAGCGTCGCGGCTGTTGAATTTATGTCAAATTGGTAACACACTCACACAGCCATGCTGAAAATACGGCAGTGTTGCATGCAGGCCCTATCCATGTGCACGTGTGTGTGTGTGTGTGTGTAGTTAAGCGAGTGTGAGAGCGGGAGAGAGCGCCCTGCGAATGATAAACAAAGTGAAAAAAGGAGGCAAAAACGTTTTTTTTTTGTTCATATTCAATTCTCACTCTCTTCTTGTATGTCTTTTGCAGAATTAGAATGGCAAGATAGTGTGTTTTAAAGCAAATTCCACAAAAAGGTGCGTGATAAATGCAACAAACTGTAAGCCAGAGCGAGCGAACAGGCAACTACAACTGCATATGTGTGTCGTCGTCGTGTGTGTGAGAGAACGCGCGTAAGTGTGTGGTAGAGAGAGAGAGAGAGAGAGCGAGTGTGTGTGCCGTGGAGTGGGAAAGAAGCACGATAAAACGAAACGCCAAGAAGTTTGCCATCATCTCTCTCTCCATTCGCTGATAAAGCAGAGAGCAAATACACGCACGCACACACACACACACATAGTGATACACGAATCGAGTGGAAAATAGAAAAACAATAATCAGCAAAAGAGGAGCGGAAAGAAACAGTAAAGTGTAAAGATCGAAAATCGAAAGTGTCAAGCATTTTTCCTATAAATAGTGCACAAAAAAAAAAAAAAATACTCAAATTACTAGTGAAAACTAAGTACTAAAAAAACCGCAAGTAACCATCAATACACCGAATAATCCCTAGTGGAACACGTCTCGGAGTCCGCCCGACACAGCCAACCAGCCAGCCAGCCAACCCCCAGCCGCATCATGTCCACCCTGGACGCGCGCAACAACTCGGCCATGATGAAGCGGGCCGAGCAGCTGAAGCGCTGGGAGGAGTCGGACACCAACCGGGCCGCGCCCACGCCCCGCCACGAGCACGGGCGCCGCATCAAATTCAGCTCCGGCTGTGTCTTCCTTGCCGCCTGCCTCTCCGGCGACAAGGATGAAGTGATCCAGCTGCTCGACCAGGGCGCCGACATCAATACTGCCAATGTGGACGGCCTAACGGCCTTGCATCAGGTGCGTCCTTATCCCCCATTGAATCCCTAAATTACATCAGACGCCTGCAATTGCCTGCATCACGCGATCACCACCCGATGGGGGTGTGAGGGGTGCGGGGGCGTGGCTGCAGGGTGCTGGCATTTCGAAACTTTTGCGTCCAACTGCGCCTCTGACGTTGCACAGTGGGCGGTGTTGCCTGACCCGGTGGTTAAATTGTTGCAAGGCGAAATATTTGTATTTGTATTGCCAGGGCTTAGCATATGGCTATACCTATGGTTTTATTTATAGCCGATTAACTAATATTGAGCGGTATTTAAGGGAAATCTTTCCAAGGTCACAAATCCCGATTAATTCTTAAGCGCTTCCCATACAGCTTTGCCCCACTGTGCCGTGCCATTCTCTAGTTGTAGTTATTGTTGCGTATTTCGTGCTCTCTCTGCGGTTTCAACACCGCCACACAGCCACACAGCCGCCGCAACAACCACTAAAACATTAACCAATACAACAAATACATAAATTCCTAATGCAAGCCGACGATTTACAAGTCGAATGAATACCCAAAAAACCCCAACAGCAACAGCAACAGCAGCAAACGGCACGGGCCACGGGCCACGGGCAACGGGCCACGGGCAACGGGCATTAAATAAGAAAATACTCAAAATGTTCTATTTTTAAATCGCAAGAAAATATACAATACCTCTTTCTGGCATCGCACCGGATCGCACAACACACATGAAAGCGAGTTTAAATATTGAAAGGAAAAACAAAAATTATTTTTCGCAAAATCATTTCCACATATTCGCTCATTTGTCTGGCGATTTGTTCTTGGCCAGAACAACAAAAAAATACCAAAGAAAATGAATACTGAAATAATGAATTAAGAATGCAAGTTATACCGAAACCCTTTGATATTTCCGTTTGATCGAGTGCTCATCTCTTCTGTTTAAAGCCAGTTTCTGTATAATCTGTTATACTTTTGCCTTAAAAAACTACTGGAAAATCAATAATATTGATAGAGGCCATGTTTCATTGGGATCTTTTCGAGGACTACAGGACAGAATTGCAGAGCGAATGGAATATCTCTGTAAACAAATCCATTTACCATCAGAAGATGATGATATTTCTCTTTCTATATCGCTTGGATTCCCCAGCTTATATATGTATTTCCTTTTCGAAAGAAATACCATCATTAAAAGCTTAACCAAAGCTGACTCTCGAGATCTGCTGTTTGTCATCTTGCATGATTATCCCGCTTTCCCGCTTGTCCGTCCACTCGCATTTAGCACTCACTGTCTGCTCCAATTCTGTGGATAATTGATTTTAATTATGCTGCGACTCCAAGTGCCAGTGCCAGCAGAGCCCGTGGCAGTGCCTGTCTCCCGCGAGAGTCAGTCGTAGATTTTCACCGTTTAACCGCGACGGCGCACTTGTTAACCAGATGCTAATTTCCACACACACACACACACACACACACAATGGGGGGGGGTTCACTGTAATTACAACTAAAAAATGATAATACTAGCAATTGGCGGCGCAGGAGGTGGAGGGCACGAGGGAGGGAGATTAGAACAGTGAAACGTTTTGAATTACCTGCTGGCTTCTCCAGTTGTGGGTTTTGAAAAAAACCGCAAAACAGAAACAGAATTTCACGATTGCATTTATTATAATAATTATCCCATCATTTGTAAGTCCCCCTCTCTCTCTCTCTCTCCACTCAATCCCTCCCTCCTTGACTTCCTTTTGAAGGGCCTTTTGCCTTTGGGACTTCATTCATTCATTCATTCATTCATTCATAAGCTTTGACAGGCAAACAGCCACCACCTCCGAGAGCGCCACACACCTGGCACCTGCACCACATTTTCAATGGCAGGCGCTGGCCGACACGAGCTGCAGGTGGAGCTGCGTGGTGTGTGGCACAGTGGTACTCAAACATTTGTTTCAAAGCCCAATTATCAGACTTCTTCTCCATCTCGATCTGAATAAAGAACATAATTGTCTCTCTCGCACTCCCGGATGAGCTTTTTCTCCCCCTTTAATCCTATCCGAACCGTTTTAATGAAATTCCTTTCAGTTTTCGATTAGAGTCGACTTTGAAATACCTCAAACCGAAACCCATCGCAGGCGCGTATATTGGCCGAGAGATATTCACTCGGATACTTCCATTAAATGGTCTCGTATTTTCTCGATGTATCCGTGAAATGGGTACCACTGTGCACGGGTCTTGCACCTTGGACCATGTCTAAACGATGATGACCGATGGAAGGAAAGATATAGGCAATGGAGGAGGGAGGCGGAACAGTGACCGTCGGCCGTGTTTTTGGTTGGCCTACAAAACGCCGCTACGCTATCGAAAAGAAATGGCCATAAAATTACACATGTTTATGAGTGTTCAGATATATACGTATATATATAAGGATAGTTCAAGGATAATTCGAGGTTTCTTTTGCGTGAATTTCTCTCGATTTTCATGGTCTAAAATTATAATTAGAAATATATTTTGGAAATACGGTGGGGACACCGCAACAGACTATATATTCAGTGTGGAAAGAGCCGATACGTAGGAGTCCAGCTATACAGCTATAGCTGTATGAATCATGGACCCATTTCCAGCTGTGGCACATTCTTTGAGAATCGAATCGAATCGAATCGCCTTAAGGTTTTCCTTTGCCACTAAACCTGCCATTTGAAATGTGTTTAATTATCTCGTGCATTTCAGCCAATTAGCAATTGATTCTACTGGTTTCTACAGTCCACAGAGAGGAGGGGAGGGGAAGGGGGAAGGGGAAGGAGCGCATAAATTAAGAAATTATTCTGTCAAGATACCTCTCAAATTGAGCCATAGATTTCAGGCAGCCAAATGAATGCATAATAATCATAACAATCGTTGATCCGTTGACATGACGATCGTGATCTGTGCATCGATGACCAGATCGAGATCTGGAGATCCTGTGCCGGCTAGAGGGGGTTGGCGGGGGGGTGGGGCGGGAAAAGCTGCGTGAAAAAAAAACTAAAAATAATATATATTTCCAAGATAGATGTTTGAGGTTTTTGGTTTGGGGTTGATTTTTATGCGGTTTATTGTGTCTGTCGGCGGCTAACGCGCTTTATTGACGTGTTTTCTAACCTTGGCCCGGTTCTCTCGGACAGACGGATGGACGGACGGACGGACGAACGCTTCTGATGGGACGGACAGCTGTGGAAACGCACTGTTCAAACGGAGATAGCTACAGATACAGATACAGATACAGATAGAGATACACATGAAATATCCTCTCAAGAATTAACAGCGCAACGCGTGTGTATATAGAGTGGAAGATGATAGTTTTAGTTTTGTATTTCTGTATCTCTGTATCTGTATCTGTATCTGTATGGCTGCTTCGTTTTGTATCTTATGGATTTGTATATAAATGGTTGTAGCGGTCGGTCGGGGTCCGGCTACACTTGATTTGATTTATTTCTCGTTTCGTGTTTTACACCCAAAATAACAAACGATTCTAGAATGCCTGCCTGCCTGCCTGCCTGAATGCCTGAATGCCTGAATGCCTAAATGCTGGCTAAAAATCTTTGCGAATGATCAAAAATGATGCAAACAACAAAAAAAAAAAAGATACAATTTTTGATGTGATGTCCGCAGTGCCTGCTCTCGGGGATTGCCTGTCTATCTCGGTGTATCTGTATCTTGTACTGTTTGCATTGCATAATACCATTTCAAGCAATAGAACAGCAGCCGCAGCCGTAGCCACAGCCACAAGCCACAGAATGTATGCCATTTCTGTGTTACAAAACCCAACAAAAGTGCTCTCCCTCCCTCTCTCTCTCTCTCTGTGGTCCGATTATTAGATATTTTTCAGCTACAGATACAGATGCAAATACATGAACGCATAAAAAAATGTAAATGAAACGAAAACTATAGAAAAATACTATTATTTTTGCCAAAAACCATGACGACATGCGCCCTGAAATAGTCCAGAAGGCTTTTCATTTAGTTGAAAATGAAATTTGTATCGAATTTCCCCTAAGCGAAAGGATAATGCGAATGCCACGCCCAGAGGGGTTTGGGATTTACTCAACGTTAAATGAAAGAACAAATAAAACAAATCCAGTATAGTTCTAGCCAGAATCTTGAATAAATATTTGAGGGACGTAACAGAAAACCGCATTAAGGGAAAGTGTACGATGTACAGGGATTATCAGTCTACAGTTTTCACACTTGAGACTGTAATCTTGGGTAAATAGGTATCGGACGAGATAAGATTACGAATGACAAAATCCCATTGCAGTTTGTCCCAAAAGTGAGACAAGTTCTCGTCGTTTAATCTATTAACAAATATTGAATATTGAACAAATAACAGCTAATAAATGGGAAATTTACTGACGCTGATCCGTAGATACGATCTGGGAGATATTTTCGGGGCCCGAACGCAATTGAAGATTTCGAAATTAGGAAATCGATTCGATATTTGTTTCTTTTTTGTGTATGTTCACCCAATCTCCCAATCCCAATCCCATCGTTTGTTTATTCGACATTTTGTAATCGCTGGTGTTTCATTAGTTTTCACAAGTCTTCCATGCCTGGCCGTGCCATGCCAGATGTCTTCTGGGTCTCTCCCCACCTGGTGGCCTAAAACAGAAAGCCAGAAGGAAACGTTTCTGCCACTGACCAAAAAAAAAATATCCAAATAGGCCATTGAGGCAGGCAGAAGACGTTGGTTGTACAACGATTTGGCAAACAAAAATTGTAGGGGCACCACTGACGATATATGAGATCTTTTCGTACCACAAGAAAAGCGGATTTGAAGGCTGAGAGAGAGAGATACAGCATTCGCCTCGAGATATATAGATTTCGAGATTCTACAGATACGTTTGTACATATATATGTATGTATGGTTTTTGTGTGGATTCTTTTTTGCACTTTTATCTCTCGTGTGGCGTGGCGCTAATTCAAATTTGTAATTTATTGAACTCAAGCGGTTGGTCGTTTCGTCTATTTTAGAGCGTCCTACGATTGTATTATAGATACATTTTTTGGGCCACATACGGCCACAATGCGGGGCAATGGGATAGGTCAAAGGTTGGCGGGGAATATATTCATTATTTATGGATTGTACGCTACTATATTTTTGATATATCCCCTCGCCATGCACCTAATCTTCCAGGAAGTCCTCTCCAAGGAATTAGTCCCAATCGGTGAGTTGTAGGACTAAGGATTGTGTGCAGGGCAGAGCCATGGGCGAAGGGTGAAATGGTGCATGGTGCATGGCGCTTGGCAAACCGGCCTGCATAATGAGCCGCGTTAAGCCGTCTCAACAAGTCGCCGTTGCGCCTCGGCTTTGGCATACGCCGCGTATACGTAATGTGGCGGCGAGGTGAATAACATTTGGCGGCAGAAACGGGCAGTGGCAGTGGCAGCCGCTGAAAATGCCGCTCAATGGCGTGCCAAAACAAAAGGCTAAACTTAGCATGCAATTTTCGAGTACCCTGTAGGCCCCATGGGTATTGGGTATGCTGTGTCCATGGTGCCGCATGCAACCACAGACGAGCAACAATTGGCAGTCCGGAGTGTGTGTTTGTTCTTCCACTTTGGATCCTTTTTGGACTCTCTTCACCTTCAAAAGGGTATTCCCCTGCCTTAAAGGGTATTCCCATTTCGCTATACGGATCTCCGCCTCTGCTACTTATTGTTGCTAGGCCTCTCTGGGCCTCCCAGCAGAAAATCTGATGTTGCCTGTTCAATGCGAAATGGAAATAGCCCCAGAATTTCGTTGTTGCTCCTCTGACATTAAGGCCCACAGGGGAGCAGGGCGGGGAGCAGGGCGAAGGGGAGCAGCAACTGATGGAATAATAGCTCGTGTCAAAAAAAAAAATATTTTGCATACCAAAAGTCATTGGACATTGGTCGTTCAACGGACGGATGGGATGGTCACGCGTGGGCGGTGGGCCCCCTCTTATACCCACCCCCCTCCCACCCCCTACCCCCTTCCCTATGCGACGATCAGCAGCGATGTTTGTCCGTCATTTTTCGGTTTATCAAAATTGTTCATAATTAATTAATTGGCTGAGTTCCAGATTTACAAATTGTTTGCCCGTCGTCGGCCCACCCGCTGTCTCTCTCTCTCTCGCTCTCTCGCTCTAGCTGTGTCCCTCTCCCTCCCGCTACTTACAGCTATTCTTCTTCCGTCTAGCTCTTTCTTTTTGTGGGTTTTTTAATGCGTTTTACTGCGAAATGGAAATTGCTTTTAAACGACGGCCAAAAAGTCACTTTGAAGCTCGCCCAAAAGAAGAATGTGAATTACCATATGCCACAGAATGAGGAGAACGAAAGAGAGGGGGAGAGAGGGAGAGGGAGAGAAGATAGAAGAAGCTCGAAACGTAGGCTCTTATCAGAAAGCCAGCAAGCGGCTGGGAGGAGGGTGTTGGAGGGGAATAGAGTTGGCGCTCTTTTCCTTTTCGTGTCGTTTCGTTTACTTTCTTTTCTGCTTTAAAGAATGCTTATCGGTATTCGTCGGGGGGCATTGGTTATGGGTCTGTGGTGGTCTGTGGACTGTGGAAGGGATTGAGAGGGGCGGGGAGGGCGGCAGGGAGGGAGATAGTGGCACGGCGGTCCCAGCGAAGCAACAATGCCGGCGGAGTCGCCGCCACACGATGATATCATCGTTGTGTCGCCGTCGCCGTCGCCGTCGTCGCTGTCGAAGATGTCTAGGCGGAGGCTTCAGCGGAAATCCGCATAAACACCCAAGAAACATTGTGGAGCGTCTGTGGGTGTCCCGTCTGTTTACTTTAGCGTTTTAGCAACAGATTAAGATAAACACGGGAATATAAAACATTTCACTAGATACACATTTTATTACTAAGGAAATCCCTGGCTGGAAAACCCGTAGAGAGTGCCCCAAAGGTTGATTCAACTCTTTATGCGATCGAATGTAAACGATTCGGGAGGAAATCCCTGGAATCAATGCCTAGTCCTGCTCTTTTCCTTTGCATATCCTTTTGTGGTGTGTGTTCTTTGTTCTGTTCCATCAATTAGTAATCATCCTTTGGGGGGAGTCATTCGAGTGCCGTCGCTCGGCCTCTGATTCAGCGATGACAATTTACACGATCGATTGTATCTGACAAAGGCGTTTTCTGATCCGTTTTCTTATCCGTTTTCTTATCCGTTTTATCCGTTTACAGGCCTGCATCGATGACAATCTGCACATGGTTGAGTTTCTGGTGAAGCGTGGTGCCGACATCAACCGTCAGGACAACGAGGGCTGGACGCCGCTGCATGCCACCGCCTCCTGCGGGTGAGTGCCACAGAGTGCCACGCCCACAAGCACCCAAGTGGCCCCTGCTTGACTCCTTCTAATCTTGTCTCTTCGGTAGATTTGTGAGCATAGCACGTTATCTGGTGGAGAACGGGGCCGATGTGGCCGCCGTGAACAGCGACGGGGACTTGGCCCTGGACCTGGCCATCGATGTGCAGCACAGGGGCATGATCGAGTACATGGAGAAGATAGTCCAGGAGCTGAACATCGATGTGGAGCAGGCGCGCAAGGCCGAGGAGGAGGCGATGCTGAGCGACGCCGAGCGCTGGCTGAGCAGCGATGCCGCCGAGGTGGACAGGCCGCACCCGAAGACAGGGGCCACGGCGCTGCACGTGGCCGCCGCCAAGGGCTACACGAACGTGTTGAGCCTGCTGCTGGAGGGACGCGGCAATGTGGATCGTCAGGACAACGATGGCTGGACGCCGCTGCATGCCGCCTCGCACTGGGGCCAGCAGGAGACCTCCCGGATGCTGGTCGAGTCCCTGGCCGACATGGATATACGCAACTATGCGGGACAGTCCTGCATCGATGTGGCCGACCGTAAAATAGTCAAATTCCTGGAAGAACTGCGGGCCAAAAATCGCAACCAGCGGCGTCCATCTAGTCAAATCAGGTTGGTCCTTGCTGCTATTTCCCGATGCTGTTTTCGATTTGAATAATCAATGCAGAAATGGTCTTTCTTTTCGCAGAATCTCAGATGCGATTGAAAATCGTGTGGACAAGACGCCCACCAAACTGGTGCGCGTTGAAGTGAGAACTGATGCCACAAAGGATGGTGCGTACCCGTGCCCGTACCCCTGTGTACAGCTCAGTGGGGATTTGCCTAATAAACGAAAAGCTTTCTTTGATTTCTCGCACAACACAAAACACACACTACCCACACAACAATCAAATATGAAACAAACAACTTGCGTCCTGTACTTGGTCCTTTGTTTAGGCTCTCATGCGCGCTAAAAACACACACACATTGTTCTGTTTTGTCGGAGCATTTATTGTAATCGTAAAACATTTGCCACTGCCTCTCCGTCTTTGTATAATTTGCAAATCATTTGCATTCAAGCATTTTACGATCATCTTCAGATCATCTTTCATCTTCCATAGCAATCCCGAATCTCTCTCTCTCTCTCTCTCTCTCTCTCTCTGTATGCCTGTATGTATGTTCTCTCTCTCTCTCTCCCTTTTTCTCTGTATTTTGTGTCTATTGTCTCTTGCTTGTAATTCACGCACACTGCAGCTGCCAGCAGTTCGAACTGCGCCTCCAGTAGTGAAGCTTCGCTTCCAATCGATAATGATAATGATGATATTGATGATGATGATGATGCTGTGGCCCACGAGAGCGATGCGGAAGAGCTGAGCGATTCCACGGAGTCCTCGCACACCACAAGTCTATCTGGCGAGAGCGAAGGTAGTCGGCATTTGTTTTGCGTCTCGATTCAGGAATTCCCTCTCTCTCTCTCTCTCTATCTCTGTCTCTCCCTCCGTGCTAAGGCCCGCTTATGAGCTACTAATCTCCACCTTGTTGTGTGCCTGTTTGTATCGAATATTTGCAATGTCTAAAACATATTTCCATTGCATCTTTTAGCGGAGAACGTGAAGCCCAATCAACAGCAGATCCATGCCCTCGAGCATCCAGTCGAGGAGGAGGCACCCTGGCGACGCAAGATGGCCCGCGCACCCAACGACAGTCCCACTAATAATCGTAAGTACTTGTTGGAGGACAGTGCGTTTCAAAGCATTCAGGAAAGAAGAACATCAAGAGATGGATCCCTTCTATACATAGAAGTACTTGTTAAATTCCATTCTTGAAATCAAAGAAAATATATCGTTCGATAAGTATTTTATCGATCCATTCTTGATAGCGATTCGATTTATTGGATGTAGATATTATCGATATCGATTTTCCTTCGAATTATTAAGCTCTGAAACGCACTTCAATATATAGCACGACCTGTTCTGATTCGATCTCTCCCTCTCTCTCCTCCTTGTAGAAGTTCCTGATAGAGAGCTTAGCAGCAATAGCTCGGAGAGCGCCAACGATGTCATATTGCGACGCACCCAAAGCTTTGAGAATGATGAAAAGTGAGTTGTGAATAGAAGAACCCTAAGCTTTTGACAGAAATGCGTGCCACACAAACACACACACACCCACACACACACACACACATACCAAATACCTAATAGCACACATAACAGATTAACCTACATATATATATATATATACATATATATATTCATTAATCTGCCAAAAGTATCGATTAATTGGTGGATTTAGTTGCAGTTTTTGTTTCACTTTTGCTGATTGCATTTATCGCTTATCATTGTGCCCCCTAACACACTCACACCCCCACACGCATAGTGCAAAAACAACCGAAATCAAAATCAAACCGTCAACTGATAACCAAACAGAACAAAATGATATGCGAGTTTTGGGCACGGTAACTGTTTAAATATTCCGCAGTGCTCTCATGCGCTCGTTTTCTCTCTCTCTCTCTCTCTCTCTCTCTGGGGAAAAACACATTCAACCCAGTCATGCTCTTTCTCCGAAGAAACAGTACCAGTCACTGCTCTGTCACTCTCTCCCTCTGCAGAAAAGAGTCGACCACCCACTGCTATCTCTCCCTTCTTCTATGAGTCATATGCTCCCATTTGGGGGGAGGCCTTTTGTCCAGTTCCATTCCCATGAGTCCGGTAACCAGTGCACTCCGGCAAAGTGAAGCAGAAACAGCAAAAAGATACCAAAAATAAGAATCGAACACCAAAAGCCACACGCAAACAAGAGAGAAAAAAGTTTTGTTTTTAGTTTTAAAATTTTGTTTTTGTTGTTTTTTTTTTCTTTCTTTTTCTCCGCTCATTTATCGATAACAAACCGATCAAAATCGAAAACAAACTCACCAACGCACCGCCAAAAACCAACAACAACAACAACTCATCATAAAAAAAAAACCGCTTATCCAAAATCTAACCTGCCCGCTGCCCGCCCGCCCGTCCGCCCGCCTGCCACTGCCACTGCCACCACCACCACACGCCTGCCACCGTCTGCACCATCGTCTAACGTCCAACGTCTAACGTCCAACGTCCAACGTGCTATCTGCCGCTGCTGCTTGCCACAGATTCTATCAAAAGTACAATGAGCTGCGCGCCCGCATAAAGGCCAACTCCTGTCCCATTCTGCCAGCGACTGCGGCGTCACAGGCGGCTGCTGCCGCCGCCGCTGCCTCTGCAGCTGCGAATAATTCCAATTCCAATAACAATAATAATCTAAGTAGCAATAACAACAATAAATTTAACAACAATAACAACAACAAAAGCGCTCTGCTGCTGGGCTCAAGAACAACAAATAACACTGCAACAACAACAACAACATCCAGTACTTTCAACAACACGCACAACAACACAACAACAAGCCCACCACAAACAGCAGCAGCAGCAGCAGCAGCTGCAGCAGCATCCACTGCTGCAACAACAAATCCATATTATAGCGTACAAAGATCGGCCTCACTCAAAGATAACTCAATGTATTACAGGTTTGTTCCGCACACACACACACAAACAGATAAACACACATACACACACCCACACTGCTGTCCTGTAGCTGTCCACCCCGAAAACTAGATCAAAGGATCGATTTAATCCATAAGATACAAATGTATAGAGAGAGAACTATCATTTTATCATGCATAGATGTTGAAAGATTATGCCTATCGATTATTGGGAGTATTACAGAGCCAAAAAAGATCTGATCTTTTACACTCTATAGGCTCTCAAAAAAGATAACATAATACTTAAATATGCTACTGATGAATACTGGTATAATAGTATACTTGTTATTCCGAGTATACCTGATCTAGTTCATGGTGGACTGCTACTCCTACTCCACTACAACAACAACTACTACTATACTACTATCACGCCTACTCATAGATAACTGCTAACCGTAATGTGTCGTAACTCCGTAACTGAACCTGTGCTTTCGCTTAGCTACTTCGTTTTTTCGTTTTTCCGCCATAACCCAAGAACCGAATACCATTTTGCACCGAACTGTGTTTAACAATCTCTTATATTCAGCCACGCACCAATGTCGTCTACCTATACTCTTGATTGTGTTCTCTCTTATGCGCTGTGCAGCACTCTCTCTTATATGACATGCTCTCTTTTGTTTTGTGTCTTTTTTGTGGCAGGAAACCGACCGTTACACACGTTGGCACGCCCACTGGCACAGCAGCCACAGCAAAGACAACGCTCCTCAGTTCACCGTCGACGAATGCACTGACCCCACCAATACGCAGGTTAGTACTCGTACGCTCTAAGCTCGTATACAACTGTTGTACTACATATAAATATATACGATTCTTGTCGAACGATTAGCCAAGTTACAGCGAAAACCACTGCCCAGAGCAATAATGGCAGCTCTTCCACGGCCAGTGCCAGTGCTAGTGCCAGTGCTAGCGATGCGGAGACCGCCAAGCCACCGCCGAAGCAATCCACGGGCAATATAATCAAGAATTTCTTCAAGTAATACGAGAAACCTCACAAGAATAACTGTTTTGTGTGTTCGTTGAGTTGAGCCTAACCTCAAAAGATAGCCCTGCTGCTAAGCAAGATGGCTTTCGTCTTTCGTTAACCTCAAAGCAAAGCTCTGCTAACCTCAAAAATATCTGTCACTGCCGTTAAGTGACGTCTAACCTCAAAAGCCAGCGCTGCTAACGCCTTTCCCCTTGATTTGTGCAGCATGATTTGTTCTTTCAGCTAGCATATGTTCTATAATTTATTACTTGAGGAATTCCAAATTATAGCATCTCTCTCACTCTTTCTCTCTCCTGCCATTAGATCTTTTGTACCGCCCGTGCGTGACGAAGAGAGCGAAACACAGCGCAAAGCGCATGCCAAGAGAGTCCGCGAGACGCGTCGGTCCACCCAGGGCGTTACCCTGGACGAGATCAAGAGTGCCGAGGAGTTGGTCAAGAAGAAGAACATGGGCATGGCCAACAACAACAATAATAACAACAATAACATCAGCAGCAGCGGCAGCGTAAGTACTCCCGTGTCCCAAGACCCAAAGACACACCACCCAATACCACAGTACCACAATACCCTGTATCATTCACAAATCAGAGCTCAGAAATGAAACATCTACAAACATCCACACCCGTCAACGCCAGAGAGAACGAGCATCTTTCTCTATGTCCATAGAATCGCATACATTATCCCATTATCTGTAGGGAGAGCTCGTACAGAAGCATCCACACACACACACACACACAAACACACGATGTCCACATGCAGTCCACACCCCCCAAATCAATCAATCAATCAATCAATCAATCAAATGTCCAAATACACACCAAAAACTAAAAGAAGAAAGAAAAAAGAGTACAAAACTGCTTATGGTTATGGTGTCCCCCCTGTCCCCCTGTCCCCCTGTCCCCCGTTCTCTTTGTGTATCCTTTGTATCTTTTTATGTGTGTGTCTCTGTGTATGTTCATTCATATGTTGCACAAATACACGCTCTGGCAGTCAATCAATCAAAGTAACGAATCCTAGTTTAGTTGTGCATCTTTGGATGAACATACATCCCCATACTAGTCTGTATACTAAAATAGTTAAATTGTAGCTTAGCAAATATCATCCTGCAAAACCGAATGCAACAGTTTTCGTGAGATCGCTGAAAAGTATGCTATGAAAAAAACGAGGGTAAAGATACACCAATAACTCCACTGGAAACGGCCTAAAGTGCGTTGATGAAGAAGTTCTAGGGAAAAAATTTATCAACTTAAAGGAGACTCTTGTTTCCTGCTTCCTAGAACTTCAACATCTGGCTCTTACTGAACAGAAAAACTTTGGAACATTGCAATATAATCCGCTTAATGATGTCAAATGATCTATCAATGGGTTGGCCGAATATATTCAAACGAAGTAGAGCCCTAAAGCAGCAACAAAAACAACCCTTATCGCCGAGATACTATGCACACGACATGTATTATGTTTTTGGACTCTCGGGCATTCTCTTTTGCAATGTTCCTTGGGTCTGACTATCTATGCACCAATATGCCTCATTGAAAAAGAGTAAATTGAGGTAGTAATCGGTACAGCAGGGTGTCCGTAAAGTGAGTTACAGGTGTACTTCTATATTGAGTGGCTAAACGGGCTGTGAACACCTTACTGAATGTAGAAACCCATTAACCTTGAGGGTTTCGCACACGGCCCGGCCCGGCCCGGCCCCCATTGGAATCTGTTGCATTCTGTTGGTTGGTGTTGTTGTTTTGTTATTGTCTCACCACCACCCCCACCCCCATCCCCATCCACCGACCGTCGCCCCATCCTTAGGCTAGTTGTCATCACAATCAGATCAATCATCGATCAATCAGTGCTCATTTAGCGTACGTTGCCACCCATTCGATTAACCGCCAATCAAGTTGAGTTCTTTCTGCGTTTGTGCCTCTGCCACGCCCCGTTGCGCCTCGCCCGCAGTTTTTGTGCCCCCCGCCCGCCACAGCGTCAATCAAGAGCTGCCTCTCATCAATATTGAGTATTCGTTTATAGCGCGTAGCGTATTATATTATGATTTCCCCAAGCAACCATCATCAGCATTGCCAGCATCCAGCGCAGATCAGTGAACCATAGCCGGGAGTCGCCATTACTATTCGTATTTACGTTATCGTTTACAATCGTTTTTTAAGTTATTTTCTACTGTGATGATGGGCCGCCTAGAGATCTGGTACGCGCGATCTCTATCGTAGGCCTATACACACGTATTATCCTATGTATAGAATATGTTTTGTATGTCTATGGAATATGTTGATGATTTTTCATTTTGCATGTCCCATCTGCATGCATCCGTAGAGTATTCTCAATCCGGGCCACACTCTACGTATACGTATCCGGCTCCGTATCCGTAATCGTACGTTATGTATATATATACAGTGGCGCCGAAAAAAATAGCACCAGTAGGGCCGACCGTCTTCATTCGTTCAAAACAAGACCACTGTCCAACTTTTGCTGGACTTTAATGCAATATAATGTAGCTTTATATGTCTCCTCTCTGAGAGAAGTGTGCTTACTCTCTCAATTCTAACGGTTCTTATAACTTTAGGCAATTTTGCGAAAGAGGAGCGAAATGGAGCACCAACAAAAATAGCACCAGTAACTGTTTTATGTAAAAGCTTCTACTTTTCTGAGCTTCTTGATATTTTAAGTTCCTGATTGAATTAAAAATCGGTGGCTTTAGGTGATTGTGACAAGAAAGTTACAAAATTTAAGTAGTTATGGGTCTTGGAAAGCACTAAAGTGAAGAAAAAAGCCAAAGGATCAAAACTTTCATTTCAGAAGGCAGGACCTATGCTAAGGTGTGGCAAATTGTCGGTTGTTCAAAAGAAATGATTAGCAATGCTTAGAAATATGTTTTCAACAAGAATCACGTGCAAGAAAGGCCGCGATATCCCCATTTCTGCTAAGACTACTGGTTCGTGAGAGCAAGGAGGACCCATTAAGGTCGGCCACAGAGCTAAAGCAAGGATCTTAAAAAATCGTCAAGTACCAGGAAAGTTAGATCTTGTTTACAAGAACGTAAAATGGGTACTCGTAGTACGAGGAAAATTTCACTTTTCACGGAAAGGCATGGGGCAAAAAAAGTTTGGTGTGCAAAATAGCACTAAAGTTGTGCCAAAGAAAATGGATAAACCTCCTGTGGTCCGACTAAAGCCAAAAATTATTTTTTGGTGTAAAAAGGTCTTGTTCTTGTGTGAAACGATTACCGAATGCAGAATATAACCCCCAGACTCACATGTAAATTCATTAGACATAGAAAAGCAAGCAAAATCGTATGTGCATGATTTTCGTACTAAGTAGGTAATCCAATACATGGCACAACCCCATTATGGATCAACATGTCTATGTCAATATCAAAGAAACAGTGATTCTGCTTAATGCAGAATACGAAATAGAGTTGTTTTGTGTCTTCCAGCAGGAAAATGACCCAAAACGATCTAGAAAGAAAGCTCGAAAGTGGTTCAAGCACAATTCACTTAGTGCAATAGATTGGTCTGTTCAGTCTCCAGACTTGAATCCCATTGCTAATATTTTGGGTCAAGTTAAAAAATATGTTTCTAATGCGGAATCAAAGAACAATAAATATGTTTGGGGTATCCTGCATGGTTCGTGGATCAATATCCCAAGGGAAAGATGCGAAAATTAGGTGAGCTTTAATGCCAATATGTTGAGCTGTTGTTGTTGCTGACAAAGGCTTTGCAACAAAATGCCAACCTTTAAATACAAATAAACTAACATATTTTACTAAAAAATGTGGAAAGTTTCCTTGTATTTTATAGTTTTTTGATTTCTTTGTAAATTGGTGCTATTTTTGTTGGTGCCCAAATTTCTGATAAAATCCTTTTCTTTTCAAATATTTTCATTTGGAGCTTGCGAATTATGCCAGTGCTCTGGGATACGATAAATTATACCTTAAAGTTTACATATTAGTCTTAACAACGTTCATTAGAACCATTGCTTAAGCAAAATCCGTCAATATAGACACATTAGTCCACTGGTGCTATTTTTTTCGGCGCAGCTGTATGTATCTATTTATTATCGATTTAGTAGCTAATAGCTATCCCTCCCCCGACCCCAGAGATCTTTTGATTTTTGTTTTCGAGCAAACAACATCGCCTTGGGACCATTGTTTTTTATTTGTTCCAAAACTAATATTATTAACAGAACGATACAAGCGAAACAGCGGCAGCCACAGCAGAACACACATCATCCATCAGTGATGCAAGCCAGCAAGAGCCACAGCCGCCACCACCGCCCACCACGCCGCCGCCAGCCATAATCCCCACCAGCGACGAGACGGAGATCGAGACCATTCTGGCCCCCAGTCCAGTGCAAAGTGCAAACGACACCACTGCCAGCTTCACCCTCTCCGCGCCGTCGAGACGCTCTGTGGTGGTCGACGACGACGACGACGGCGACGGCGACGGTGATGGCAAGGCCGGTGGCGATGCCGATGATCCGGAGGCAGTGGTCAGTGCCAGCTACACGATAGTCTCGCGGCGCGACAAGATCCCCGACAGCGCTGAGAGTGAGCCAGAGCAGGTGGAATCAAACAAACAAAAGACTGACGAGCAGCAGGCGGAGAGCGAGGAGCAGAAGGCGAGGCCCACAGACCTGCCGCTGAGTGCGGCCCCGACTGAGGCCATCAAGTCGTCCTCCTCGACCACGCCCGGCTCGCTCGAGAGTCCAGTGCGCTTGCGGGACAAGCGTGGCCTGTCCGGCAGCAGCCAGGAGACGGATACCAAGTCGGACACCGCCTCGCCAGTGTCGGCGCATCCGGACTTTAATGCCCGCGACTCTCTGCTCAGTTTGTATGCGCGCCGCACGACGGACGGCAGTGGAGGAGCATCAGCTGCAGCAGCAGCAGCAGCGGCAACAGCAACAGGTGGTGCTGGTACTGGCGCTGGTGGTGCGGGTGGGAGTTCCACATCAACATCGACAGCAGAACGGCGTCCGTCTTGGCGCCTCAAATTCGATGCCGGCTCCAAGGTATGCCCCACACAACCCAACCGAACCCTCTAACCGAAACCCAGAGTCCTACTTATACAGAGTCCTACAAGATATATATGTATATGTATTTGCCACAAAAGACTGTATCTCGCTCGGTTGTCTTTAATATTTTTGTTCAACTCTAAGTGTAGCATGGATTTAGTATTGTAATAATTATGGTTTGCTAAACAATGGAAATACCCTTGCTAACGAATGGTTAAACCAAAAATGTGTAACGAGGAAAGCCAAAAAGCGCCAATGAGCCAAATTTGTTTCCCTGCTAAGGCAGTCCTCAAACCACACTAAATCTAATATGTATAGATCATATAGAAACCAGATCGCAAGGGTATTCTGAACGTTTTTCGAGTAAACGTAGCTGTTGTGTATGTTTTATTTTTCGTAGGTCTTTACACGCCTGAAATGTTTGTTCTTAAGTACGTTTTCTCCTTCTCTTTAGTTTTACTTTACGCATTTTGTATTTTTACATCCATGTACATGCTCGTATGTTTTCATTTTGCCCATAATTTCATAATTTATGCTTGCTTCTAAAACAGCGAACAACATTACTTACGTCTTGTGTACCTATTATTTATTGTTTAGTCTCCAATCCAATCATATCTATTCGGCAATGAACTTTTCCACAACGTTGCAGCTAAAGGAAAGGCTTGAGCATTTGGCTGAGTTCTGCTTGCTATGTTTTGGTGTATTCTTAAGGATGTACATATTTTGCATGCCATTCAATTACTGTAATCCAAATGGTGGTTCAAGGGAATACTGAAGCTGCTTTAGCTTAGGTTTTAATATGGTTAAGGGCACTCGCTAACTGATGGAAACGGGGACTGCACCCCAAATGCAAATGGTGTCTGGATTAATCGTTGAATTATTATTGACTATTACTAAATGTATATTAAAGACACTAACTGCCGCTGCACACAAGCCACGAAATAAACCCAACAAAAACATTTTCCAGCATAGCTTTTCTGTAAGACAAACCACACATTTTGCTCACAAAACAAACAAAACGAAACGAAACGAATATATTTAGAGAAAAACATTTCAAAACATACCTTAGATGCAGACTTTTGTAAATTATAAGACTGTGATCCTTCCGCATAATAATACTTGTGTCTTTACGTGCAGTTCAAGCTGGAGGACAACACCAGCGGCGGTACATATCCGCCCAACAACAGCACCATTATACCCAGCGCCCCGGCGGTGATGGCCGCCGCCAATCTATCGACCACAACTGGTATCCAGCGACGCATCAGCAGTGGTCCCAATGCCCGTGAGTATTTATGATGAGTCCTCCTATGATTCCCCATTCAAATGGTCCCTATTTTGGTTTCAGTCAACGCTTCCAATCAGTCACTGAACTCTGTGGGCCGCCCCATCTCGGCGCCCAGCGAGAGCACAAACAACAGCAGCGCCTATGCCACGCCAGCAGTGCGCAAATATGAAACGACATCCACAGGAGCGGGAACGGGAGTGGGAGCGAGAGCGGGAGCAGCTGCTACTACGACAGCCACCACAACCGCCAATTCAGTGTCTGCAACCAGTGCCAATCATGCAGCAGGAACAGCGGCAACAACCAATGCCACATCCAGCCATGACGATAAGGGTAAGGCCCGGCAGGGCACAGACTAAGGAGATTCAAGATTAAGGATGATGACGAAATCAATGGAACAACGGAATAGTTAGTTTCGTTCGGCATGGGATCATCAAGAGGAATATTGCAAATTCTCAAGAATTCAATAGAAAATATATATACATATACCATATACCACATATACCACACAAAACCCACTCTTGCGGGCTCGTTGCAAGATCTTTACACAATTATAAATTGAAACGCGCACAGGAAATATTACGTGGGACTCGCCACCTAGTGGCCTAATGCATCAATCCAGTTAGAATTAAGAGTTTTGCTGCAATTCATCCGTTTATTCTATCCACATTATGTCATTGAGATATCACACTACTGCTGTTTTTAAAATTCAATCTATATGGGATATAAATTTGATCAATAAACTGGGGAGAACTGTTAAGCGTTAGATTCCATGCCTCTACATGTTCCATCTAAGAAATCCATCTTGAAACTTCATTAAACCCTCAGATTTCTGTTGTTAGACTTGAAAATGAATTCCATTCTCTTCCACCAACAGAAAACGACAAGGAGAACGACAATCGCACACAGACCGTCATACAGAGACGCCGCAAGCCGAAGCGCAGATCGACCGGCGTGGTGCACCTTGATGTGGATGTAAGTATTGTTCAGCCATGCCCCATGCGCCCGCACAGATCAGATCAGATCAGGTCACAGATCGTACTCGTATGTGGCGTATCTGTACGCGTATTTCTGTACTTAATTGCCAGGCCATTTGTCAGACCAAATGAGCCGGCGAGCAGCGTGCCAACTATTTTTAGTGCAAATGCTAATTAGTCAAAAGATTAGGCGCATACTAAATAAGAAAATCTCTCTTTTGTTTTGCTGCTGCAGGAACTGGATCCCGAACGTCAGAACGAGGAGAAGGACAAGGAGGTGAGTGTTTTCTCTCTCTCTCTCTCTCTCAAGTGTCTCTCGATCTGAGAGTTTCCATAACTTTTCAACAACAACAACTGGAAGAAAAGCAATTGAATTTTCACACCTTGCCAAGTAATTTAAATGTGTGTCAGGTGCTTGTTTCCGTGCTGTGTGCACCTGACACTCTTTTTTTTTTGCTATTTTTTTTTTTGGGTCTTCTTTGTCCTCTGATGTGCTCCCACAATCTTTTTTGGCTTTTGGCTGGCCAGCTGTGGCCCGTTCCGTCACACCTTGTCACATTTTTAGATCGTTCCCCGTTTGCCGCGTTTTGTCCTTCAAAGTAGCTCTGTACCCCCTTGCCGCCCCATCATTGCTGTCTGTTCCAATTAGCAGACGACCCAAAAACGAAATTATGATTTGCCATTAGAAAACGGTGCACGTGGCATTGTGGATGTGGCTGATGCTGCCTCTGGCTGTAGCTGTAGCTGTAGCTGTGGGATGGATTCCGAATCGAGTCTGTGCACTCGTAAGTGCAAGGCTACTGCGAAATCCTTTCATGGCCGAGGCCAGAACTATTAGTGCGCGTCCAATTTGTGGCTAAAAATTCTGCAGCAGCAAAACCTGTTAACAATTTATCAGAGGCAAGTGTCAGAGCCGCCGTTTGTCGCCTATTATTCAATTCTCAGACAATTTCTGAGTGCATTTTGTCATTTATGAACAATATAAGCGTTTAAGTTTTGTGTTTTTCTAAATTATTGTTAATTGGTGGACAATTGTTTGGATTTTTCACACAATTTTTCTAAACGTTTATACGAATATAAATGATTTCGTTCATATACATTTTCCACGAAACGAAAATTCGTTGAATTTTCAAGTAATTTGGGGTACAGATGGTTCCTTCTGTGGATTGGCTATTTATTTTCAAAGTCGATCAATGTAAGTTCTAACCGATAACTTTTATAAATTTTTTAAATATTATATGAGATTTGGAGAATGTTTTTTTTATTTAACTAAGAGTAATACCATTTGCTTATCTGAAGCTTAAGATTACAAAAATGTAAAAAAAAAGAAGCTTAGACTCAGCATATGAAATGAGTAGGTTCCCCGCTTAAGCTTCAGCTTTTTTCGAATGTTTTCGAAATAACTTCTTTATAGGTACCTTCTATATTTAATTCATGAATAGATCTTGAACAATTCGATGTTTTTCCCACCGATGCTACTCTTAGTATTCCTTAATCGCTACTGCTACTCAGAAATTCTGATCTGATCGCAGAGTTTTCAGATTCTTCCTATAATTTTCATTCGCATATTCTTTGGATTTCCTATTAACTATTAAATGAAACAAAATGTGAATTCAAAGAAACTTTAAAAAGGGACCTGAAACGTTTCCATTCTCCTAACTTTGGGATGGTGTCCCTCTGTCCATTCAAAACACAATTTGTCAAGCCATCGGTGGCAGCCTCTTTGTCGCTGTCGCTGTCGCTGACGCTGACGCTGATGCATGCTGCCTGTGTGTCACTTGCAGCTGATTGACGGTGTCAAGTGTTTGCATTATCTAATGTTCTTCTGTTCGTCTGACAAAAGTGCATCCTGGGGGAGAAAAACACTTTCACAATCGTTGCTCGTCGACATTTTTGCATTGTATGACAAATTGGGCAATTATCGAAGCACGACCCAAATGAAAGCCGAAACAAAAGGAAAACCCACAAAAAAGAATCGGAATAATAATGAGAAATGAAGCAGACATATAACAAATCGCTGACACACGTACATTGAACTTTGTTTTTGGCCAAAAGCGCATCACCGAGAGAGGCAGCAAGGGTGGAAAGGTGGAAGAGAGACAGATGTTCGAATATAACAACATGCAGTACATTTGTGTGCTAAATTTATAACAGTTTGCTTTTAATACCGTGCACTCGTATCGCATATGGAGGGCATGCTGTGTCCGGGGAGAGCTTGTACATTATTATCACAGGAGTCTGGATTGCTCTTCGGTACGATATAGCCATACCGACTAGGATATTGATGCTGATCGTGGTCGGAAACGCCTCCTTCTGGGTGTTACACACATCCACTTTCACCACAAATCAAATGTACCACTATATTCTCTGAGTATTGGGTATAAAAAGGTATTCCTGATCTACATCAGCGGTGGGCTGGATTCTATAATTTCGGAGCATTCCAACAACAGTAAAAAAAAAACCCTTATCAGCGAAGAAAGACTCGACTATTATGCACACGACATGTATTTTGTTTTTGCATTAATGGGAATGAGGGGTGGTTATCACGATGATTACTGCCAGATGACAGTGTTCTTTAGTAGCCTCTTAGTCTGTGCCCATCAAAGGGTATCTTCTAGTCTTAACAGTCGATTTGTGCTCCTACTTGCTTGCATTTTCCGCCGTTGGCAGGCATTTGCTTCCTCATTCCCTCCTGGGAGGGGGCAGGGAACCGAGGCGATCGTCATTTGCTATTTATAGACCGAAATGCATTCAACGAAAGTTTAAACCGCTGGACTGCAGCAGAGAGGGGCATGAGCATGGGCATGCTTCTGGCCCAGTTATGATGGGGCAAGAGCTCCCCCAAGAACTCCCCAATGGGAAACGCGCTGCACTCTACCTCTAAATATAGCGATAGATCGAAATAGGCTTTACCTCTCTCCTCTCTCTCCTCTCTCCCCTCTCTCTCTGTCTCTGTCTCTGTCTCTCTTTTGGTGCATCTGTCATGTGTCAATGACTGTGCTTCGCCTTTTGGCCCAGTTCTTGGGGGCTGTTCCGCCGACTCACCCCAGTTTTCCCTGTTGGCTGCTGCTTAGGCTCTGACCCCAGCATAGTTAACACTTTTACGTCTCGGACATTGGGCCAAATACGTGTGCGATTTACTAAATTTAGACCAGGTGAAAACTCGCACATTTTCCCCACACACGAGAAAATGCCGTGTGCGCAATTTCAAGTGAAAATCTCCTGCTCCTCGCGTCTCTTTTGCCCCTAACAACTCTTTGTGGTGGCTTTTATTATTTTTTGTTTTCATATTTCACATTATTATAGTATTCTGATTATCCCCGTTTTGTTCTTTCCGGCTTTCCTCCACTCTGTCTCTCTTAGAGGCATCTCTTTGACGCATCGACTGCCTCTCTTTCGAATAGATTTGATTCTCTTTGGGGTTTATTTCTGATCGTGCGGCAAGTTCTCATTCGAATAAAACATTTCAAATCTCTTGTGAGCAGCACAGTTGAATTTTGTGCGGCTAGCACAGCGGATCATCAATCAGTTCAGCATCAGAATCAGCATCCAATACCGTCTCTAAACAAACCAGTCTAAACTTTAATGTAAATCCCAATTGAACACAAGAATTCAATACGTCAAGTGAATCGAGACAAAAAAGAACAATAACCACAAAAGCTGTCATCGAACGTGTCAAAGAAAAATCAATTGCAATACGCTTAGATCGTCTTACCCCTGGGATCAGATGGGACCAGATCCGAACAGATCAGTGGGGGGTCGGCAGATGGCAGAGCCAGAGTTAAAGTTGATTTGACTGCCGCCAGCCCCAACGCAAAGTTGGCTTTCAGCCGAATCGCCTTTTTGGGGGGACAACTGCGCATAATTTTTGGACATTTCAAGTTGATGCTCTCTTAAGGCGGCTCTCTCTTATTGGCTGCTGCCAATTTGGGCAGCTATTTTGATAAGTTTTTAATTTGATTTGGAGATATATTTTTTTTTGTTTTTGTAAATGTTAAAGTTTAACAAGCGATAAGTAACAAAGATTAATGATGGAAAGATACACAAAAAGATCTCTAAAAAGATCCCCTTGAATCCCTTAAGAATTTTTAGGAAATATCTAAAGTATTCGATTGCGGGATCTTTTGACCTTTAAAAGGGAAATCTTTGGAAAATATTTACCATCTCTAATGAAGCTTTAATTGACAAAAAAAAAACTCCCTTCAGATAGAATAGCAGGTTTAGAAAACTTAGTAGATTAAAGAAACGATCCAATAGCACATATACAAATATTTATTACAAACTCCAACAATAATAGATCCAATTTTCGTTATTTATGGGTATTTCCACATCGTAATCCACTAAATGTGCTCCCCCGACCCTCGATAATTTTTCATAGTCATGACACCACAGATATTTTACGAGTATGTTCCAAAAGATTCCGTTTTTTATGCGATATTAGCCACGTTAAATGTTTGAATTAACACGAAACAGCATCAGCAGAGGGAAATTATTGCAAAAGGCCAAACATTTAAGCGCTCGGGAAAAGCCGCTTCATTCATGGCCTGCCCGTCCTATAGATAGACCATAGACCATAGACCACCGGTGTATACATATATATGTATATATATATAGAGGTATATGGCATGGATATACTAGGAAACAGACACAGATCATCGTAAATTATATGCATTGGTAAATTGCTTGAAAAGAAAAACGTTTTCTGGTCATTTCGTTTTCATGTTTGTTGTTTTGTATCGCGTGGGTGTGGGGAGGATGAGGAGCATCAACTTAGAGAAACAAATAAATATCAGACAGCACCCTGACTTCCCCCCATAGATCATGGCGTGTATGTGTTTTCGATACAGCTCAGAGAAACCCCAGAGAGAGACCCCCGTACAGATCCGCCACAAAGAAAATTGTCAAAATTGATGTCTTGACGTCACGTAATGGTTTGTTAGTGCAGCACCAGCCCCAGAACCAGCCGCAGAACCAGCCCCAACCCCAGGAGAAACGATCTATGGACGCACGGAGAAAACCACATGTCAATATTGCGTTCTCCATATTGAGAGATCGGATACGATTGCGAGTGTATACACCGATATACCGATACGCATACATATATCTTGATCTGTACATGAGTAAACACACACAAACGCTGTTTGTTTTTCCTCCTCCTTTTGTTTATACCGAATTCATGAACATTTTGTGCTCGCTTTGATTATAATCGTAATTGCCTTTTGTGCGCGAGGTCTAAAAATGGAACAAAGATCAATCGTAATCGAATTTTGAATGCTCTTAAGTGGCAGGGAATTCTTCAAGGGATTTATTTCGGAAAGATTTCCAAGAAAGACTTCGTTCTATCGATAATAGTATCGTTTATTCGCGATAAAAATCGATTGGACAGCTCCTTTGACATCCTATCAAAAATCTTTGGCACTACACACCTTCTGTGCCCCGATCTGTTCTCTGGAAACGATTACTAAATAGCAGACATCGTTTCTGTTAGGGTATTCCGGTCATGTGGTTCTGGGCGGACTGTTTAAGCGTAATTGCAATTGTGTGCCGACGATTGATGTACGAACCGGGGCGGGAGATGTACTAATGGGGCATGTGCTTTCTTCTAGTGTCCGTCAGCGACATGTCCTTTCGATCGAGATCGCGCACACAGGCGCCACTCTCCAGTCACCGGCGCTCGCTCTCCTCCTCGAGAGTGGGCTCCTCCGGGGCGAGCGGCGTGGGCTCCGGCTCCAGCGCGTACAACTACAATGGCAGCAGCTACGGCAGCGGCGGCAGCAGCGGCCGTCCCCTGAGCACGGGCTACTTCCCCAGCAGCAGCGGCAGTGGGAGCTACCAGAGCCCCTACGCCAGCGTGTACAGCTCCCGGGAGAGCCTGTACGGAGGCGGGGCCGGACGCAGCTCCTCCGGGGGCTATTCAAGCTATGGGAACGGTAATCGATACGAGTACAGTGGTGGAGGCTCTGCTTCTGCGGCCAAGTACCTTCACCATCACCATCAGCAGCACAATCACTACCAGCATCAGGCTAATCCTCACCAGCTTCCGCATCCGACAGTCGCCGGCAGTGGGCCATCAGCTGCAGCTGCATCCCCATCTGCCTCCACCTCCTCCTCCACATGCCACGCCACCACCTCCATAGCGTCCACGCCCACTGCCAAACCTCACAGCAGCCGCTACAGCTATATGCCGTCGTCATCAGCTTCTGCAGCTTCTTCGGGCAGCCACTACCACATTGTCGTGAGCAAGCACAGCAACAGCTACGGTCACTCTAAATCCTCTGCTCTCTCCTCCTCTCTCTCCACCGCCTCCTCCTCGACGTCGTCCTCGAACGGTACAGCCAGCGGTGGGGGCTACGACAGTTCCCGGTACGGCTCCAGCGCCTACTCCTCTGGCGCGGGCTCGTCTGCGTACTCGAGCGACCGCTATGTCAGCCCCTACTCGAGCAGCTACGACAACGGCGTGACCACAGCCTCGCTCAGCTTCAAGTCCCCCGGGCTGAGTGCCTCGAACTCGTTCAAGGGCTCCCGCCTGATGAAGACCAAGTCCCTGTCCACTTCCAACAGCAGCCTCACTGCCTCCCCGTACAGCAGCAGCAGCACCCCGACGACCAGCAGCAGCGTGAGCCCCGCCGCCACAGTGGCGGCCATTGCGGCCACTCGCAGCAACTCCTTGCGGGAACAGGAGCGCAAGTCGCGCAATCGCACACGCTCCCGCAGCGCCGCTCAGCGATCCATTAGCGCCTCCTCCGAGAAGAGCGAGGGCTATGAAGTAAGCAAGGGTTTCCAGGTTCAAGGTTCAAGGTGTGCTCATACAAAGTGAGGCATTTCCGCTCTCCCGACAACCCCCTGAGAGCGCTGTCTGCCAATGATCACCTTGTGTTAATACACCTTGGCTTTTAGTTAAGCTTTTTCTACCTGTTGTTGTTGTTGTTGATAGTATTTGAAAATCTCAAAGAGCACACAATTGCGTGTTAATCGGATCTAATCTCGTTTTTCTTCACCTGCAGAGCGGCAGCGAACGCACCTCTCGCTCCCGACTGGGCAGCACAACGAGTACGGCCGCAACGAGCACGACCAGGAGCGAGTCGAAGGGCAGCAGCGACAAGTCGGAGAACGGCGATGGCATTGACTACAAGGCGCTCTGGGAAGCGGCCAAGTGAGTATTAAACTGTCTCTCCTTCTGTCTGGCCGCCATCGTTGCTCACTGCGGCGTCCCACTTTCTCACACAGATTGGAGAACGATAAGCTGAAGCAAGTGCTCAAGCAGAAGGATGACGAGGTTGTGCAGACCCGCGCGACCCTCGAGAGATTCGCCAATGCCGTAAGTAGACACTGCCCTAACTTGCCACGCCCACACCAGCCTACTACCACTACTACTACTACTACTCCTCTCACTCGAAACTCTCGCCAAAAGAAAAGAAACGAAAGTCAAAAGCAAAGCAAAGCAAAAGCATACTCTCAGCAGTAACCAACCAACAAAAACAACAAACACACACATAAAACAACAGAAAGCTCTCTCTCTCCCTGTCAGCTCTGCCTATGCTCCTCTTCTGTCCCCGGGAGAGAGAGAGAGTAGTGCTCTCTCTCAGATCTATACATATCCATTCACTCAATAACCAAATCACTCTTACAAAAACACACATGCACAAGGTGTTTTGATATAAGGTGAGGCAGGCATTCCCGTGGGAATGTGCCACCTTGCACCAAATACGCCTTGCCCATGCACTACAAATTTAGCAGCCCCCCCTCTTTCTCTCTCTCTATCTATCTCTTTGCCTCGCTCTGCCTCGTCTCATGTCAAGCTTTTTGCTCGCGTTCTGTCTCTCTACATCGCATCTCTCCTTCGCTGCGATCTCTGTCCAACCAAACCACCAAAAGAACAACACCAAAACTGAACAAGAACTACAACCACAACAGTTACAATATATGTACACTGTACTACAACAACAAAAACCACAAAAAAACCAACAAAATTAGCATATATGCAAAAAAGCAAAAACAAAACAAAATCTTGTTTCATTTCACATTCGCAGACCACTAAAAACTCACTCTCTGAGATTGAGAAACGTGAACGAAGAGCTATGGAACGCAAGCTCTCCGAGTTGGAGGAAGAGCTCAAGGTAATTACAAACGAGTCCTTTGCTATCCGTAAGCCCTAGCGGCTGCCATTGCCGCTGCCACACTATTGTTGCTGTTTGAAATTGAAATTGAAATTGTGTTCTGAGAACAGGAGTCGAAATTATTGATTGCCATCCCTCCACTGTTCTTTGTTTCCCTTTCTTTCTGTTTCCGTTTCCGTTTCTGATTTTACTGTATTTTTGTTTGTTTATTATTTATTTCCTTTTGTGGCCAAAAGTTTTGATTTTTGCTTTTCTTTATCGATATAACCCAGGGCTGCATGCAAACCGCGTTCCAATCTTATTTAGTTCTTAATACCCTTGCAGATATAACGAGTGTATTCAAAGCAAGAGATCCCTGTGATCGCTGACATGGGAAAATATCGAACCGATCTGCAAGGGTATCCTTTCTTTCTCGTTGTGTTTGATTTTCTTGGTTTCTTGATTAACCCATTATTCTTTTAAGAAAATTGATTAATGCGAATTGTGCTTCTGTTCTTAAGATCAGAATCCGTAAATTTGGCTGATTCCTCCGATACCTGCCATTCCCGCTACACCCCTCGCACCTCTCGTTGAAGCAATACGTGCATATTTTCATTAAAATACCTTTCGTTTCTTGCTTTCACCTTTTGGCCAGTTCTGCTATGTATACCATAGGACACCAAGTTACCTAGCCTAGTCCTCTCTGTGGTGGCACTGTTTCTTTCTGATTGATTTGATTTGAAATTGATTTACAATGCCTTATACCTTAAACTGCTGTACATTGAGCGATTGTTTTGATTTCTGTTGCCATTTGTTTTGACCCTCCCCCACTTCTCCACTGGAAATTGTCATCATTATCATTCCGGTTTATCTTTGTTTGTTTTTTGATTTCCAAATACTATTACAAATTGCAATTTCATCAAAGATCAGACATTTTCTCGAGTTCTCATCTACATCGATAGTAAACCATAATTCTCGAGATCTTCATAGCCAGCCATCAGACACTACTCTTCCGTCCATTATGTTTCACTCTCTCTCTCTCTCATCATCTCTTTCTCTCTCTCTATTCATCATTGTCATTGTCAGACTCTCATTCTCTCGATCATCATTGTCACCCTTTTATGATTTTTGGTCACTGTTTCCCCCACATGCGTTACACGTTATCCGTTACACGTTACCCGTTACACGTTACCCGTTACCCGTTACCCGTTGACCGTTATACGTCTATCTCTCGCACTCTCTTAACCGTTATAAAGCAATGCGCTCTCTCTCATTCAAAAACAAAACAAAAAACAAACGCTCACTCAAATTTGTTTTTCTTTTCTCTCTCTCTCTTCCCACGCGCCTCATCGATCGATCGATTGTCTTTATCTTTTCTTGCGTCGCCGCTGTTGTTGTATGATTTCGTTTTGATTTTTTTGATTGGTGATTTTTAGCTGTTGCAGAAGCTAAAGACTGAGAACGACCGCCTGCGCGCCGAGAACCGTGCCCTCACGCGAGTCGTCTCAAAGCTGACCACGTCGGCCCAGAGCCAGCTGGCCAAGGCCAAATAGAGCCATATCGAAACGCATTTCAATCGCCTAAGCACACTCCCCCCACCCCCACCAGAATCACACACTCACAAAAAAAGAAACAACAACAAACAATCTCACAAACGCGCGAATATCGTTATCGTTTCTATATACATACACGCATATATATTGAATACTATATTTAACACATTTTGATGTCGTTTTGAATACTCGAATAAGTATAATCCGAATATATCAGCACTTGTAACAATAATTAAGTGAAATTAGCTCACCTTTGAGCTCATCATGGGGCTTGAGAACCGCTCACTGGTAATACAGATCCAGATACAGATACATACAGATAGAAATACCCACCTATCAATTATTCAAACCTTCGACGAACTCTATGGGTAGCGTAGAAAAAGTGTTTTATATACATATAGTAAAATCTTGTTCCCACGGCTTGTTTTGCTCTAGATCGAAAAATGTTTGCGAATTTATTATGTGTAATCAATATCAATATATCATATGTACTTATGGGAACCACAAACCACTTGAAATTGAACTTGAACGTGAACTGTAACCGCACTGATTAAGTAACGTAAATCAAAACCATCAAAACCGCCACTCGAATCATAGTAAACCCCATTGAAAATCCAGCGAAGCCCAAAAACGCTCAATTGCTTGCCCAATGTGTCCCCCACCATCAGCATCAAAAACACACAGCATCAGCATCAGCACCAGGCCCCGGTCCCGGTCCTGGTTCCGGTCCAAGGATCTGCTCTCTCACTCTCTCTCTCTCTGTCCAGCCGCACATCGGGGGGAGAACGGGAAGGTACAGCAGTGGTCTAGTGGATGCTGGAAGCTTTACGGTAAATCAGACCCTCCACCAGACCCTGACATGTGACATTTCTATGAGCCACCTGCGCCCAAATACTATTATCAGCTGGCTGTTGTTGTTTTGTTGTTATACACATACCACAAAAATAAATATACATAATAAAAAAAAATATATATATATTTTATCTATAACTGTATTATCGAGTGTTTCAAAAACTTGTATCTGATTGGAGCCTGAATTTGTTTTATTAAAGCTGAAGTTGGATTGTAACCTAGGGAGGTGTATGGAAATAATAAGGGACTCACTTGGTTTAAATAAAGAAATAAATAAAGAATAACTTTTAGACTGAAGCCCAAGCTTGATTTGAGCATTCGTTATCTGTCGATTTGGTTTACCTTTTGTACCCCACCTTTTGTTGGCGTCCCTGTACGTCGAATTCCTTTGTATCTTCAAAGATACATTTTTTCGAGCTGAGGCTGCTGAGGCGAATCGATTCAAAGGAGTAAAACGTATCGATTTATAAAATTTAATAATAATATAGATATATGCACCATTTGCGATCCAACTGAAGTTAAATACATACATATATAAATCATTAATCTCGATTAGAACTCTATATTGAATTGTGAAATTCGCTATTGAAAACATTTTGAAGCACTCTGAATGTATATATGCAATAAATATCTACTTAATAATCGTACTTTATTACACATACATACGAGTATACATATAGTATGTATGAAACACCATATTTAGTGTCTATATTCTAACTATTCTATGGAGTTTTTCCTCTTGTTGTTAATATTGTTACAAGTTTTCTATGCCAATTTGTTTATCCTTTTGTGTGTGTTCTCGAAACCAACAGCACAACATACCCATCGACCGATCTTGAGTTATGAAATAAACGAAACCTTTGCCCACTGTCGTTCTTATTCAACATAATGCTGTTTATTGTTTTCCATTCCGTCCCCATGGGACGGGCGTTATCCGCCATATCTCCAGAATGTCAGGCATCCGCATCAGGCATCCGTATTCATGTGATTCATTCGACATTATATGATCGACCGATCTTCAATAGCTTATCATGGCACACGACACGCGTCACGAAGTCATGAAGAGCACACGAATCATTGATAGATTTCATAGAAACTGCTCGTACTATCGGAATTTCCATATAGTTTGTGGTTGCATGCATGTTGTCTCTGGTTCTCTCCTGATCAGGGCGTCCAGATGTGTCGATGTTTTTACGAGTAGGTAATTACTAATCGTTTGTTTGTTGTTTCTGTTGTTGTTGTTGCTGCTGCTGCTGCTGCGGCGGCATCATTCCCCTAACTAACGAAGCATGCCCCACGCACAATCACTCCCCGAACTTGTGCCTTCCCTCTGTGCTCAATGCTGTATCCATATCTTGTGCATATATACATATACCTCTTTCGTATCGTGTGTACTAATTTGATTCCACTTTGATCCACAGCAACTCGATGCGTACAAGTCGGATAATCATCGCCTGAAGGAGGAGAACGCGGCGCTGATTAGAGTAATTAGCAAATTAAGTAAATGAAATGATGTCTCCACTGTACCGCTGCATGGATGGAGGATAATCATCATCGTCATCTGTATCATTGAGAAACAACCCCATTTTTACGTTATTCACCAGCTGGAAACGGGCTGAAAAATGAAAATAAGAGAAGAAATTAAATGAATCAAAACGAAACGAACAGAAAAAAAAGAAACGAAACGAGAAGATAAGAGGAGTGGAGAGGAGAGGAGAAGGAGAAGGAAAGGTGCGAAATTCGCTGGAAGGGGGGAAATGTCAAAATTTTTGTTTATTAATTGTGTTAGATATTTAATCATAAGGTGAAACTATGTTTCTACAATATCGTTGAGAATTGTTTCGTTCGTTTTATATAAAGAAGAAAAATCTTATGTATTTGGTCAAATTTTGTATACAAAGTAGTGAAAATTATTAATTAATAAAATTGCACAGATCAAGCCTAACTGTACGCAATGTAAATCAATTGTGTGAGGATCGAAAGAAAGCAAATTGCAAAAAGCGAAAAAACCTTTACATACAAACTGAGAACATATTCATCAAATGAGCCCTAGTTACAGATTAGTTTAACTACGTAATACATATACATACATACATACATACATACATATATAAATATATACATAAACATATATATATTTTTTTTTCATATATAAATTATATATACACATTGCATATTATATATATTTAGAGCAACTGAATCATAAGTTCGACATTTGAATGTGTAATATCATCGAGCAACCACGAGAGAACCGAGGAAGAGTTGTTTTCGAAACCAGCCCACGCGTCAACGTACTAAGTGTAATCATTATCATCCGTATCATTCGTAATTGTGTTTAGTGTACCACCCTACCCCCGAAACCCCCCCCATATTTTACACCATACCATTATACCATTTTTATACCCACAATGCCCCCGCAATCTGAGGAGCGTACCGAATACAAGCTCCATGGCGCTCTTCTACAATATATATGTAGTTACAGATACAGATACGAGAGCATATCAGGATATGCTGGCCTGCATATGCACTATTACTTCTACTATTCGATTACGTTAATTATTAGTTTCTCCCTCACTTTGAATCGTATTATATCGTACTATATTTTACCTTCGCTTATAACGAAACAAATGATCATACGCCCCTATGCATACATATTTCTGTTATTTATTAAATTCGCCTAAGAGATTTTTGTGTTACTCGTAAATGGAAACGATAAGCAAATGCATACATAAACAAACATACACCAACAACAACAACAACAAAATATAAATTAATATAAATCGTGAATTGTGTAATATGTAAAATTGTGTGAGAAAATATTTAAGAAAATTTGATTCAAATACGAAACTTAATAAATGTGATCGCAAGCAAACTCTGAATATCTTTTGGAATGGTGTCTTATGGTGTTATTTTGATTTTGCATACCCTAATACGTTTTGTTCTCAGCAGATAACAATCTCTGTCGATTTCGTGAGAAATTCCACATATCTCTCATTCAAGGTTTACAATTTCTTTGATAACATACTCGGTAATAATTTAATTATTTGCTGATAAAACGTCTGAAATTAACCCCCGGGCAATCTGTTTGCAGGGCATGCATTGGAAGAAATACCACAACCTTTTTTGGGTTGTATCAACTTTAACGTTGATCAAAGTCGAAAATTAAGGACTAAAGGTTTACTTTGTACCACTCATCAGATAGGGTTTTATTCTTTCGGAATCACTATATCATTATAAATTCTCTAGCAATAATCGATCATAGAAGAATATTTAAAAATAAATGTTGTTCACTGTCACTATTATACATATGATATCATCTCTTGGAAACGATTCGTCTGCATTCAAAAATATTTGGGGTACATTAGGAACCTATTATACCGATTGCTTTACTCTACCTTAACCGGGTATAAAAAGACAATAGCAGTATACAGAGCTCTAAATACAACATAAAAATGCGCTTAGATTACAAATTCTTGGACACACATTTTCAGTCCATGAGTCAGTCAAATGAACCATCCGTATCCGTACAGCCGTAGCTTTAAAGAACTCTAGCCTTGGTTAATTATATCGTGAAAAGCACATCCAGATACAAATGCTTGTTGTTTTTTTTGCTGATATTTGGAGCCACGCCTCGGCAGAAAAAAGCTTCAATAATACTTTATGATGTTAGATTTACGGCTGGGAGACAAGCCAAGCAAAATCTGGCAAATAGCATTATCACATGCAGGACCCATAAACGGTTGAAGGTTGATGCTGATCGTGAATTCCGCGAAGCTTCGGTCTTCCAGCTACTATATAAGGCGCATCGTTTGGAGGCCCCATATCAGTTTGACGCCAAACGTAGAGCAGCCCATCCCCAAACACATCCTTTATCCCGAAGAAAAATGCGGAATACCCTAGCATTTTCAGCCATTGCTGCCCTGCTTCTGGTTTCTGTGGCGGCACAGGAGTGTAACGAGTGTCAGAGCAGCAACGATGCCCTATGTTTGAGCACAACCGAATACAAAAATTGCATGAGTAAGTTCTATGAGGAATTCTGGTTGTTGGCGTAATATCTACAAAGCTCCGTTTTCGCCCAGATAATGTTGCAATTGGCGATACTGCGACATGTCCCACCGGCACCGTTTGCAGCAACACTGCGGAAGTCTGCGTGAAGAGTGAGTCTGTGGATGGTGTTAATATTCTGGACGTGTGTGGCGGCTCAAGCGGTGGATCCAGTGAAGGAAACGGTGAAAACTGTGGTGTCTGCATTGGCAGCGGCAAGTTCGCTTGCGTCAGCAAGACCCAGTATGCCCGATGTGTTGACCAAAAGGTATCCACAACACCGTACCCATGCGGTACGGATGAGACCTGTATCACAGAGGCCCTCGGCACTTATGGAACCCTCTGTGTGCCCAACTGTGCCCTCACTTTTATTGGTGTACGTAACCCGCTCTGATGATATACTTTGAGATATACTAAATCTTTTCTTCTTTCACAGTTGAGTGCATCAACTAGTACTTGCAGCAACGCCGATTATACGCCGCCGACCGTACCCTCTGTTCCTACACAAACTGAGTTGGAGGCAGCCTGCGCACTTTCTGTGAAAACAACTACATTCTTCGACATAGATAATACTGCCGACACGACATGCAGTAGTTATATTTACTGCGAGAAACTTACAGAGTCCACATGGCTTGCCATCTTATACAGTTGCAAGTCCCCTACTCCATACTACAGCGTGGACGCCAATAAGTGCACCGCCACCAAGCCGACCAGGTGTACTACACAGGCCCAGACTTAGTATAGAAACTATTCCTGTGCAGTCCTACCTGCCAGCTCCCCCCTCTAAAAGATGTCCACAGGATCAACATATCTTGCTTATTTTATATATTTTACTGTACAATCTCCTACAACTTTTATAGCTCTGCTAAACGAACTATGAACTCTATACAATTGTGTATGTTCCCGAACGATACGAAATAAATACAAGAAAAAAGTAATGCATAAATATCCACTTTTGATTTGCAATACACATACATATAATGATCCATATTTGACATTTGGCTTAGACTATTCGGGTTCTTACAACTAAACAAAAATATGTGTCTGTTGACTAAACTCCAGGAGCCAGGTCCAGGTGCAGTAGTTAGCTTCAGCGGAAGGAACTCTATGATTTCGGGTGTACAATATATGTATAGCATAAGCTATTGTATTAATTAGAAGCCTCGAGATGTTCGGCAATATCTGCCTGGAAATTCCATAACAAATTACGACAGACAAACACAAAAAGCAATAAACGACGAAACCATTAAAAACTAGAAGACTGAGACTGTTTAAAACACGCACACGTCATAATTAGGCGAATATACAAAATGGATAAAGTAAAAGTAAAAGCAAAAGCATTTACAAACTAATTATGTATTCATGTTGAGGACGAATCAAAGAAAAGATACTAGACCTTGATATTGTATAGGCATATTATAGTTTAAATGTCGTCGAAATTAATGGGTTAAGTTCTGTACATTGATGGCCGTAAACACTTGGACATAAACATTTGCACACATAAATAAGTACGTCAGCGGGTCTAAATATACATACGGATACAAACATACGAATATGATATTCCCACTCGAATCGCATGCCGCTTGCCTGATTTATCTGGCGCACAGTTGCGTTCAACGAGGGGAAATTTCAAATTTCAATATTCGAAAACTTATTTCATTGCGCACACACACAGGCACACACACACACAAACGCCTCAGCTTCTGCTCACACAGATACGGCTTACAACCTACGAGCATATACAAATAAGTACAATGAAAAGTTTTTTTCTTAATTATTCTTAATATTTCATAGAGACAAAGGCAAAGCTGCTGCTGCTGCCTCTTTTTCTTGTGGTGCTGTTGCATTGGCAGCGATTGTCGCGGCAATTAAACATTAAATCAAATGAATTGCAGAATCCCGCAAAAATGACACTGAACGGCGGACAGGATGGGATGGGGCCGGCAGAGACACTGCGGCTGGCCAGCCCCCATCTAAATGCGCAAATGGAAATTATGGCCATTGACGACGCATGATCGGCCCGGGACGCTGTATGTGGGCAGTGGAGAGTGTACAAACTGCAAAAGTAGAAACACACACACACACACAGAAACATACGTACGGAATTAGAAAATGATGGATAGTGGCTGCCTGCACTGGCCTGGCCTGGCATAGCATCGCATTGGCATACAAACCTTTGGCACTTTCTGCGTTGTCGCCATGTAGCCAACGCAAAACGATTGCGTCGTATGGCTCCACATCACCTCGCCGCTGCTCTGCTTCGGATAGTAGAGCAATGTCAAGGCGCCGGCATAGAGATCCTGCTGCTGTGGCAGCAGCGGAGAGTCGAGAAACTTTTGTGTGAACGTCTTGTGCAGACTCGTCACGGCGCAGTCGCTGGTGAAGGCCCCGTTGCATATCTCTCTGGCCAGCAGCGTCTTCATCAAGTACTCCCCGTTGCCGGTCGTGCAGGTGGCTATCGCCAGATCGTCTGTGTCGGTCGCCCAACAGCCAGCACCATATGTTGCCGCCTGGCCAACCCGTCCTGGCACTTTCAGCAGTATTCCGCCGGAACTGCAGCCCGCTGCAGTGTTGCCGGAGCTATCGACGCACACGGCCCCCACGGTGTCCAGAGACGCTGCGAGCTCCACTTCGTTGCTCGCGTCGGGCACAGGGACGGGCTCCTCGGAGGCGGCCTTGTTGTTTCTGCTGCTCACAACCAAATCGTATTTACTCTTGTAATGATTGAACTGGAATTTCGCTTTCGATGAGATCATTAAGCTACTATCTGAATGGAAGTAGATAAATTCATTTAAATTAGTTAAGAGAAAGTTCCATTCATATTCAGATCTGACGGACTGAGGACTATACTATATACATATTTTGTGATATATTGGGTACAAACCATCCACCATTGCACATCCGACTTCGTCGGCATAGCGCTCCGCTCCGCTTCCAGCTAAGACCATGGGCGGTATGCGTTCCAGGAGCTGGGGATTCGACTGTGCCTCACAAATTTGGCGCGCCAGCTGAATGGGATTCTTCACTCGGCTGACATTTGTGCACGCTCCGAAGTTCAGGGTTGATCCGTTCATTATAGCGGCATCGCACTGCACAGAACCGTCCATGCAGAGATTGGAGCCGTAGCCGGCATTCGTGTAGCCGCAGTTCTCCAGTCGAATTATAGCCGCCTCGCACGCATCTACGGCTGATCCCCCATTCCGCAGAATGTCCGTGGCCCGGATGCACGCCTCTTTAATCACCCGTTGGTATTTGGTCTCATCGATGCAGTTTCCAGCCCCTGAAACAATATGCGCCCATCAATCTTCTAGCTGTCTGCCAGCAGCTGCAGCTGCAGCCGCAGCCGCCAAAATTAGTACGAACCTGTGTGCACCGCTACGAAACCGGCCATGTTATTATTGCACTTGTTGTTGTGTTTTTGATGCGCCCAATGCAGTCCACACACGGGCGTAAACAATTTGAAATAGGGATGTTAAATATTCATTGATATCAATGATATGTATGTGTTTCGCATATCATCATCGATATTTTTGTGCGATAAATATTTGTTCGATTGAAATTGTAAAGACCTAATGATGTATCTCAATTATTTTCGCAGTATATTCTACTGATTTTTTTGTATTTTAAGGCACTAGCACGTATTAAAATATGAGAAGAAGAAGATTTCTGGGGTAAGATATGGTACCGTTTTCTCTCGATCTGGCAGCGTAGGATCGATAGACATCGCTACCAGCCGGCTGAGTATTTTTCGATAGTAAAATCGACGTTTCTCCATCTCTACTTTTTTGCAAATAAAATATTCGCACACAAAAAAAATATGCACTTGAACCACTGTAATGTATACTATATAAAGAAATAAATACAAGTTTTGAGCAACAAAATACCCATGTAATCGAATGTACAGCCAAGCACAAGTGAAATGTGAAAAGAAAGTGATTTGTTAGTCGAATAACTGCTTGTGTGTTTGTATTGTGTGACGTGCGCTTGCTGCGCTGCTACTGCGCTGTTACTGCGCTGCACTACTGCAACGCTGAATACGCAACGAAATAGGAAAACCCGATACTATTATTCACACAACAGGCTGAGATAATGGAAAAGTTTCCACTGAAGGGCAGCAGGGAGGCTGCGGCAGAGGGAAACAGCTACATAACCGCCTACCAGACGGTAATGAAAAAGGTAAGCCCACGCATCAAGAATTGAGTGGAATGATAAGCCTGGTAGATTTCCCAATCAGCTACGTGCTACCTACATACATACATACGAACATACGTATTCATACGGTAGTTGCGACGCACACATATTTGGCATAAAGGGGCGGAAATGCTGCTGTTTTCGTGTCCGCGGCTGTGATTTCTGCCTCTGTATGTGTGTGCTGCTGAACGAACAAGCAACAGTGTCAGCGTACTAATGGTAGCTTCCCGCACACTGGGTCGAACAAAGATCTTAATCTTATCAATATCCGAGCGTAAACAAAGAACCAGTATATCGTCTACATTCCGAAATTGCCGCTCTAAATTTGTGTGTTCTTTCAGTCAAACGGTCACACAAGCAGTGCCGGCGCGGAGGGCGAGGGAGATGCCAATTATCACGATCATCCGCTAGCGCCTCACACAAAACTAACCACCTCACTCACAGCGCCGGCCACAGACGACGAAGACATGATTGACATAACGCCGCGCTCCAGTCCAGGCGATGTCATCGGCGGCGGAGGCGGCAGCAGCAGCGGTGGCTACCACCGCGAGACTGCCACAGAGTCGGACACTGAAAGAGATTTCGAGCACGCGGGCAATCATCACAATCAGCGTACAATGCACCATCACCACCACCAGCATGTGCCAACTCACAGTGCCTTCGGCGACCCCATGGACGGTGAGTAGCCCGACATTCCTGATCTGATCCGAGCAAAGCGTTAACTTGTCATTGCGTAAAGCACCGTGTGACACCAATCGCTCCGCAGAGTGTAGTGCGGAGTGTTAATCAAGATCATGATCATATGAATACAGCAGACGGCCGGGCCGGGCCGAGCCGGGCCGGGTCGGGACGGCGACGTCACCTCAATTCTGATGCCGTGGCACAGCTGTACCCGCTTGGCTGCCTCAGTGCTCGGCCGTGGTCTTGTGGTTGTGTGGCTGTGTGGTTTGGTGGGGAATTCAATTAATACATGTGATGATGATTAGCATACAGACATTTATATGTGCAGTGCATCGTTGTGGGGCCAATGTCGCGGTCGCCGATGTGAATTCTGTCCGTCCAGCTGTCTGCCACCTATTGGCAGCTATTTATTTCGATGAAATTTATATGGTACATGATGACAATGCTAATTTATGGAAATATCAGTTTACCTACGCATCAATTAAGATGTTAACACGGCGCTAATAAGATCATTATTGTTAATATAACAAACTCCAGTTGCGCTCAACTCAAGAAACTCAAACGAATGTATTTATTATGTCCATTGCTTTAGGAGCACTTTCGTTCTATGGCTCGTCGGATGTGCAAGATGACATACCTGGCATCGGACAGTATGAAGATTTCCACACCATTGACTGGCAGCGGGACATTGCACGCGACCGTATGCGACATCGCTACATAGTCAAGAAGCGACAGGATTCTGTGTGGGATCTCATCAAGGTAAGTCTATCTATCACCGGCACCATGTCTAAATAAACCAATTTCAACCTCCAACAGGGCTCCATTGATGCCGGCTCTGGGTGGCTGTGCGTTCTGCTCGTTGGCATTGCGGCCGGCTGCGTGGCGGGGATGGTGGATATAGGCGCCAGCTGGATGTCGGATCTGAAGCACGGCATTTGTCCGCCCGCCTTTTGGTTCAATCGCGAGCAATGCTGCTATCCGGCCAAGCAATCGGTGTTCGAGGAGGGCAACTGCTCTACGGTGAGTCCTAGTTCTTGCTTTATCCACACCGATTTCCTCAAACACTTCTC